TCATCGCAGCGCCCTGTGCCGAATGCGATCCGTTGTCACGGTCTCACTTCTCCGGCGTGCTAGCTTCTCCAGGTGGATTCGGCGGACAGTTGAGCACATTACAGTGCACATTACATGAGCACGATTCATGCTCATGTGTCCGCTGTGCTTACTTTTCCTCTGGCTGTATTACCAAGCAGTGAGGGACATCCAAGAATGTGTTATGTAACACTTCCCCCATGGTCTTGCAAGCATTCTGATTTGTGTTCCCAGCGTACGTCATGCATGTGTGTGTGTTCATGGAGGAATAATTAAGAACGAACTCCTTGGTCCGTGTTCCTTGCTCGTTCGTGGTCCATTTTGTCTTTATTTTTGCAACCATGCGGCTTAAATAAAATGTGCATTTCAAGTCTTTTTTGGTTATTGGGATTTGACTGGTACCTTGTAACTATGCATACAAATATCCTATGATATTACGTGCACCAGTACAACCCCGAAGAACTCAGCACACAAATAAAGTTGACCAAAAATGTACACCACTGCGCAATTTTGTGCATGCGTGTTGAAGCGAAATTTCCCTTTCGGAGAAGCTAGCACGCCGGAGAAGTGAGACCGTGACACCGTGTCGAGAATTTGTAGTGTGAATTCACAGGGGCCGTAGCCGGATTGAACGTTACACGGTTCACGTAGCGGCCGTTCCCGTAAAGGACAGTGTGAACGTCGCGTCTCTCCGATCCGTGTCGAAAAATACTCGGGCTGAACCGGGTTGGATCCGGGTAGGTTTCAACACGGTTCGAAACGGAGATAGTGTGAAAAGGCCTTAAGTATTTGTACATCAGGTTGCACCTGGAACAACAGAATAACTTGAAAGAATCTAATTGTTTTGCCACCTCCCCCTCCCCCCCCCCCCAAAAAAAAATAAATGATACAATGTTTATTATAACTCCAGGATGACAATTGATACGCGGCTCTTTTCACTATCGTGCAACCATGCATCGTTGATAATAAGACCAAAAACAAACAAACAAAACTAGTCATGATGGTGTACATGTTCCAAAAATAGACCTTTCTATCATTTGGCTTCAGTTCTGATAACAATTTCTGGAGTTTGGATCCGTAGAAAAACTTGACTCCCATTGTTTACTTTGTCAGGACGATTGTTATTTTCGATTTGTGTACAAATATGCAGGTTTCTCAAATCAATTTGGGTGAACAAGTTTTAGGAAAGATTTCCGTATACGAAGTTCACTCAACACCCTGTGTACAAACCCTATGAGATTGGACTGAAAAATTCTAAGTGTTTTCTAAGAAAATGCTTGTATTTTCTCACTGCTCAAATTGACTTTGATGACATGAAATTGCTATCTGGGGGCTTGTTACTGTTAGTCAATACAGAGGAAAATGTGTGAACTTCGTATATATGGAAATCTTTCCCAAGTTTTATTCAGTGAAGCAGATTTTGTTGATACACCATAAATAGCAGGAATGAGATTTTTCAGACTTTTGTCTGAAATCAGGCTTTTTGAATCTGAGAGAAAGACAATTTATCAGTATAGAAAGAAATGCATCTTTTAGACCTTTCATCCAAAAAAAATTGACAGAATCACCCCTGTGTTATGCAGGGTGTTACAATGTACGTGTGTGATTGCTTCTTAAAATTGCATTCCCCATGCTCTTACATGTAAAACAAATTCAATTTTTTCCCCTCTTATTAATTAAAACAGAAAAAATATAAAATTAATTAAAATTTATATTGCCCGGTCTACATGGAAATGATCGAACAATGGTAGCTCTCTGTTGCAGAAAATCGTGTGCTTAGGATGAATGGATGATTGAGCACAATTGATTCCAAAATATACAAGTGAAAAGGTCAAAATTGTTTATTGCCAAGTTGGACCGATGCTGAGCAGTGAGATGAGCTATCCCATCAGTACAGGGTCACTGAGGAGACAGTCTACTGGGTCACCCATTGTTGGGTCACGTCATGCCGCCACTGAACTTTGCACAGGAAGGTTTTCAGCTTGTGTTTTGAAATCAAGAGTGCTCAGTCATGTACATGATGACTGCAGTGGTCAGCTGATAATCCACCCTACATGTGGCATCAGGCGCAACCATGACAGTGGCCAAGTTCACAATATTAACCCTTACTCTCTGAGGGTAGTTTACTGCATGTCAGTTGGTTATGCCAATGCCCTCCAGCTGCAGTTTATTGGCAGATAGTTTTATTTAACAGTGAAGGCTCCAATTGGCAGGAGTTGGAGGCCCTGGAGGGTGCCTGATACTGACCAGCTGGGGGCACTCACTTTGTTATCAGAGGACTCTCATTGTTCTCTGTGGCATGTATTGGAGTGCCTGTCCAGTTACCCTTGAAATGACATGGCAGATATTGGAGGGCCATGCAAAAAACATAGGAGATTTTCTTGAGGCACATATTGGGATGCGTTGGAGGGTCTAGTAGGGTAAGGGTTAATTTAATTAAAATAATTTATCCCTAACCCACCTCAATCCTCCGAAATCCTCATTGCGGTTTTGGAGGACTCTTGATTGAGGATAAATAATGTTTGCGAAAAACAATGAGGATTTTTGATTTTGAGGATTGAAGATGAATGGTGTTTTAAGGCAAAAAAAAGAATAGTTCTGCTTCCGGTTACCCGACCGACCCTATTTTTAGGCTGCGACCCTAAAAATTTTATCGGCAATTCAAAAAAAAAAAAAAGAATAAATAAAAATAAAATCTGTCTTTTCGGTCTTCACAAAATACCTCTCAACAACCCTTTTGCATCCAAAAATGCTTGTATTTATTTGTTTTCTTACTTACATTCGCTTTTTTCAAAAGAAACCTCCGTTATTACAAATTCGCTACGCGATATAACTACATGTACTTCGCAATTCGATGTCACGCACGGTGACAATAATCACGTGGCGACGACTGGTTCCCGCCGCGCCACGCAGGGGCCAATTTAGAAGACATAATGAAAATGCGGTAACCAGTCCATAGCTAGCTATGCGACCAATAGCGTGCTTTCAGTACAGTGCGGGCCACTGTCAACTGGTCGGATTCGACATCGTAAAAATGCCAAGAAAACACCGATGGAGAGAGAACATTTTTGCAAGTTAATTTACAGAATTGATCTAGCTTGTCTGTGTATGTATTTTCTGTGTTCAAGAGTTCATTTTGAGATCGCACTACTCGTATTTGGAGTGATACATGCCGCGTGTTTCCCGAAATTGTTGACCGTTAAAAACAGGTCTGTCGGCCCATGGTGGCCCGTTCGCCACACACGCACGCATCACACACCTCGCAGTTTTGGCCAACTACCTGCGTCTTGACTAGCGTTGTGCATATGGTGCGAACGGCCTGAATTTTCCATTATTTTTTGAAATTATCGAACGTAAATATATTGACAATAATTAAAGGTAGGTTTTACTCACTTTTTGTTGCCATTTCGTGTATAGCTTTCGTAGTGCAATAGAAATAGTTCAGGCTAAAACTTCGCATATAATTGAATACCCCATTCAATCTGCATAAAAAAAATTGGCAAAAAAAAAGAAATTTCCGACCGACCGACCCTATTTTTGAAAGGCATGTAATCGGAAGCAGAACTATTTTTTTTTTTGGCCTAAGCACATGAGGATTTTTGAGGATTGAGGATGAATGGTGTTTTAAGCACATGAGGATTTTTGAGGATTGAGGATGAATGGTGTTTTAAGCACATGAGGATTTTTGAGGATTGAAGATGAATGGTGTTTTAAGCACATGAGGATTTTTGAGGATTGAGGATGAATGGTGTTTTAAGCACATGAGGATTTTTGAGGATTGAAGATGAATGGTGTTTTAAGCACATGAGGATTTTGGAGTCCAGATTGAGGATGAATGGTGTTTGAAGATGAGGAGGATTTTGGAGGATTGAGGGTAATGCATTTTGAGGCAGGACTGTCTGATGATTTTGAATTATTGAGGGGTTGGTTATCCTTCATTTGAACATGAGTGCAAAATTTTGAGATGAGAAGGATATTGGAGGATTGACGATGAATGCATACAATTTAGAAGCAGGACTGTTGGACGATTTTGAAGGATTTAGGCGCTGTTGCAAAATTTCGAAAATTTTTGAGGATTGAGGATGGTTCCTTGCAAAAAGGGCCTTGCAAAAAGGGTTAGGGAATCTTCTACTGTTATCCATGCGTGTCAGCTTTGGATGCCTTCGATACAAACTATGCAAATAGCTGTACCCGGTACATGTTGTACAGAAGCTGTACACAATTTCGAGTTGTCCTTTAGGTTTGTGCACAAACATGGATGCGCTCAGCAGGCATCATTTTTGTATAGCACTGTACTAGTAATATTAATATCTATGGTTCAGCTTCATTTACACATGTTGCATTCATACATTTGTACAGTACACACTATGTACATCTGTTTGTTGTTAACCGTGACCTTGTCCTGTCAAGTGCCATACAGAAAGTCTTATCAAGGTCAACAGTAAATTACAAATTGCATGGAGTGGTGAGTACATGTGTTGTGGACCAATGTACAAAGACTTTGGGCTCAATTTCATGGGCCAATATCAATGGTACCTATGTACATGTACATGTGTGTACATTGTAAGTGAAGGTTGTGCTATGTTCCGGTACACCTTTTACAGTGTAAATAAAACAGGGAAGTTTGCTACTTGTGTGTTTCCCTACTTTTCACTGTCTAGACATGCTCTGGACATTTGTAAATTCTTTGGATTCTGTTCACATGTAAACATGTACATACATACAAATGTAGGCCTACATGTACATGAATGTTCATGCAGGATTCCTACCGTACATGTACCGGTATGTGTGTGTATAATTTTTGTATTAATAATTTTAATATGATTTTTGTACACACCCTAGGGAGTTAGGGTAAACCCCTAACTCCCTAGGGGGTGTGCAAGATAATTTATGTATTAAAATTTGAGGATTCTGGACTGTTAAGGCATGGGCTACCAACTGTACTGATTATCTGAATTTGTTTTTATCTACCTAATCTTCAGGAGAACAGACACATGTGCCAAGGACGCATTATCACTATAGCAAGGACAGTACGGCGCTATCCCGACTGTACGTCACGAGCTGAAGTTTCCCAAGGCGTTGTGGGTACGCTTGTCTTCTCCACGGTGATGCACCCGCTGCCTGCCGGGACGGACTCACCCCCGGAATCATGTTGATGGACCGGTGCCCCCTGACCTCTGGAGGTCAGGAGGTCATGCCACGCCACTTCCACTTGCCCGTTCTCATCGCCTTCTGGGTCATGTACCCGCGGCCGCTGCGCGCCATGTACATCCACCGGCAGGAGTACGCCACGAACGCGGACGACGAGGCGCAGTCCAGCCCCGCGGCCGCAGACATGCGATCCACGCTGTCCTGGGCGGTCAAGTTCCGGACCGCATCCCACCGCAAGACCGTCCAACGGACTGACTACGACGAAATCGCCAACCGCATCGCCAAAGAGGTGGATTTACTTAATCACGGCCAAGTCGGCGAGCTACTCAACCACTACCTGTTTGTGCACGCCAGCTACAACGCGACGCTGAACGGGACCGATGACCAGACCGAACTGAGGCGGATTCAGGGGGAGACTGAGACGAAACTGAGGGAACACCCCGATGTGCAGTGGTTTCACCAGCAGCGGATCCGGCGACGGACAAAACGGAGCTTGCAGTTCCAAGATCCTTCCTATTCCACGCAGTGGCATTTGGTAAGGAGTGTGTGGTTGCAGGAGAAGGGGGGTGGGGGATGCTGATCGAGGTACAGCATTGCCCTTGTAAGGGTATAGGATCATTTGTATTTATCCCAAAGGTACATAAATGAACAAATTATCATCAAAAGCTTACTTGATTGAAGATCATTCTAGTATTAAACACCCTGTGACATTATTCCATCTGGCGTGGTTTCATTTAGAAGAAATCAAGAAAAGTAGGTGATTTCTAAACATCAGTCTTTTTTGACTGATCGTTGAAAATAAAAAGTTCTAAAACAAAATCGTGTTTCGTCATTATCAAAAGGTTGGGCATGGTTTTTCACTGTTTTCTTGAAAGGTGTATTATCCACCGAACTTAAACCTCAACAGGTTAGGTTTTGAACATTCTTCTTCGGATTTTGAGTAACTCGTGTTATTATTGGAAACGAACAAAAAATGCAAATGACACCCATTGATTACTTTTTTCGAGGCGGTTGGTTATTTTTTATATTGATTTGTGTACAAACATGCAGGCTTCTAAAATCAATTCAGACGAACAATTTTTATGCAGGGAAACAGATTTTGTTGATAGTACACCAAAAGTACACATACATGTACATGTAGGTCATGTTGAGCTATCGTACCGGCCGGTAGCTCGACATGAAAATGCCAGAAAATTGTAGTTTTTTACACAGGTCGCAACCCTGTGTAAAGGGGGCCTTAGGCCTATAGATCAGGGATATTGACACACTTCAACAGTAGTTGTTTTTTTTTTTTTTTGGGGGGGGGGTGTCAAATAGTGTCAAAACTGTGATATCATTCAAGGCAGAAACTTCAGTGTTTTTACATCTGCTTCAGCATAAAAAAGTTACCAGAATGTGTTGGTTTTTACTGTGGTTATTTCATTTTGCGTTAGGTGATTCATCTGTTGTTTCCGTACATGACAGTATGAGACAATGAGTAAAAATGTATAGCTCTACCAATGATTTCAATGAGTAAAGTTGTATTTATAATTTGAAGAGAAAAATGCTTACCCGAAGACTGTGTGCCCAAAGTGACATCACAAGCAACAGCGTCCTCAGTTGTCAGGAAAAGCATGTTTACAAATTTAAATGTTTAAAAAAAGTGCGCTTTGCAAAACATTTAACTGAAAATTCAGGATACATCTAGCAGTTTCCATACATTTCAGAGGAATTGATATTTGAAACAAAGATGCTCCAGTTTGATATCGTTTCATGGACCCTTTAAGGTTAACCCTAACCATCCCAAATCCTCCAAAATCCTTTTTGCAAATTGGAGGAATTTGCAGGATTGAGGTTACGTACATGTACGGCAAAAGTGCGGTGCTGATTTTGGAGGATGCACTGTGTCAAGGTCTTGGGCCGGACCTTGTGTTGTTTATGCTCAGCCTAGCATAAATTTAGTCCTTGATTGTACTTGAAATCCTCCGCACTGCTCCAGGATGTCACTGCCTCTGCCTCGGCCTATTGGCAGTCATAGCCGGAGGATTTTGCAGGATTCAGGCAGTGGTCACCTCTCCACGGACCATATTCAACATGTTCAAGAAATAATGGAGGAAGTTGCAGGATTGAGGCTATATTGCTATTTTTCCATGAGGCCAATTGGAGGATTTTCCAGGATTGAGGCTACATCCTGGCATAAAGGCCTAGGGAGTTAGGGTTAATTAAGGACAATCCCTGCAAATGCTGCATTTGCAATTAAGAGAAAATCCCCCAGCCAAACAACACCTGTAGCCAAGTTCTAGGGATTTAGCCATGCCTCATCAAACAGGTTGGCAGGAAAAACCATTCACTTCAGACATGGTGCAGATCTATGCAAACACCAGATGTTTATGTGAGCATTGGGGCATGCTGTGGAGGAGGTTTCATCTGTGCTGGATATCCATGGAGTTTGCACTTACCTTGTATTAAGCCAACAGATACATGTACAGATAATCCTTATCCTCATTTAACAAGCAGCTCCAGGGAGCTGGCAAAACGTGGATGCTAGCATGATGGCAACTTCGGAATAACTGCCAGGACAAAGAGATCAGGGGCAGATTGCAATAACGCAGTCTTAGTCGGCTGGCTAAACCAGTCCAATTTTAGCCGGCTTTTGTTCTTAGACGGTCTTGGTTAAGACACCAAACTTAGCCCATTGCAATAAGCTGGTCGTTACTAAGCCCGCTTAGAGTAATGATTCACAAACAAACATTCCATGGTTACGGGCGCCGGAATACTGGAGAGACTGCACATTTTTTTTCTTTAGGTTTGTGTGATTCATATCATGCGAAATCAAATGTCAATTCCGAAATTTTATATTGAGAAAATTGTATTTGCAGTACAACTCAGTGTCATTACATTTTTCCAGAAGATCCCTTCTATCCCAGAGAATTTCCCTTCAAGCAGTGTTCTGCTTTTTAAAGATTTAATCATCAAACACTCATCAACTGGGAAAAAATATTTTGGGAAAGAATAATTCAACACACCAGTGAATTCCAAAAATCCCAACTATAGACCGTTTTAAGCCAGCCCAACCCAGGCTAACTATTTAAAGACTGTCTTAATACTTAGACCGTGTCATTGCAATGGTCTTACAAAAAGTTTATAGACTGACTGACAGCGAGAGCTTTTAGACTGTCTAATGCGCATAGACAGCTTTAAGACTGGTTATTGCAATCCACCCCTGTACTGGATCCTGCCAATATCCAGGCAATTACATGAACCGGTGCTATTGCATGACATTTATCGTGTACACATAATCGCGTACATTTACAGGTGTTGGCGATCATGATTCTTCTATTTTTATGAAATGTAGTTTATAATGTATAATTTACATATGTACATGTACTCCAGTATATATCCGTACATGTACACATGTAAACAATTTACATGTTTTTTACCTTTTTTTAAAAGATTTTACCAAGACGATGGTAACAACTGAATGTGAATGGGTCAAATCTTATTGGCCTCCACACTTGGACTTTGAACTTGGGAATTTTTTTTAACCAAGATCGACCGCACGTTAAAGGAAGCAATCTGAGCATCTGCTCAGCCGTCCGATCGTCTTAACGTATCACTGTGGAAAATTGTTCGCTAATTGAATGATGCCATGAATTACCGAATGGTACATGTAGGTCTAACATGTGTAATGGTGCCCATAATTTCTACATAATGACTTTCATATAAAAAAAAAAAAAATGAACAGAAATTCAAGTGCCGTGTAATGTATTCGCGCATTCCCTTGCGGTTTAAAGGGAAAATACAACATTTGCAAACATCAAAAAATAAAATTTCCAAATCACTTTGAAATACCTTGCTGGACTGTTAGTGAATGACAGCGTAAAGCATCCTGTAAAATCATGGCACCTGGTATACTGTCATTTTCAAGAAAAGTGGTATTTTTGTATCAATTTCCAACGCTGATCGGCCGATCAGCGTTGGAAAAAACTGGCTTTTTTTTCAAATACTGGCCCCAGTTGACCATCGCACTTGTTTGCAATCGATTACACACCTATGAACGGGTACAAGCCAGCTAGACTGGTTCCCTGACCTTACAATTCCCCAATATATGTAAACTGCTCTGTTTCTTCTTAAATGGAGTCAGGGAACCAGACTACGGGAAAATGATTGTTTTTCTTGGTTTTTATAGCATTTTCGAACCCAAAACCTCAAAAAAGTCAGTGTATCTATATTTGCTATATATTTCCAACCCCCCAATTCCATCCATTTCTGAAAATTACAGCAAAGCAAATGATGTATATTCCCTTTAAACGACTTGCACCGTCCGCATTGGAATTCTCATCTCTGGGGAAAAGTGACCTGGTCACTTTTCCTGGGCCAAACAAAATTGGCCACTAAAAGTGACCACAGCACTTAGCAAGTTCAGTACCCATCGTCTCCTGAAGTGAGCATTACTAAAAAAAAAAGCCTCAATGGGAATACGGCTTTAGTCAATTGCTTGTTACGGTACGGTACGTGTAATTTTTTGCATGCTTAAATGTATGCACACGCTTCACTAATGTATACTGAATTGTTTAATAGGCCTACTGGCACCACTTCGAGTTCCCTTGAGCCAGCTGTACACGGAGTCCACATTGTATTGTACATGACCCACAGCTACTGACATTTTTGAGCAAAGAAAACACAAGGCAGGCCCAGTTTGCTTTGTTTGTCGGGCCAGTCGTTATTATTCCACCACGGATCACTGGTTTCATTATGTTTTTTCAGTCGGAGTTTCTTTGTCATATTCTCGCTTGCCACATGCTCCGTAATTTTAAATAAATTACATGTGTACACACATTTAGCAACAGGTGCTGATGCATACATGTAGTGTACGTTCTTAAAATAGACCAGAAACAAGTGTACAAGAATACATTACAATAATACAACAGGTACCATACTTTGCACAACGGGTACATGTATGTATGTGCCATGTGCATAACAGTTCAGCAATAAATAGGCTATTAAAGGGAATATACATCATTTGCTTTTGCTGTAATTTTCAGAAATGGATGGAATTGGGGGGTTGGAAATATATAGCAAATATAGTTACACTGACTTTTTTGAGGTTTTGGGTTCGAAAATGCTATAAAAACCAAGAAAACAATCCTTTTCCTATAGTCTGGTTCCCTGACTCCATTTAAGAAGAAACAGAGCAGTTTACATACTTTGGGGAATTGTAAGGTCAGGGAACCAGTCTAGCTGGCTTGTACCCGTTCATAGGTGTGTAATCGATTGCAAACAAGTGCGATGGTCAATTGGGGCCAGTATTTGAAAAAAAGCCAGTTTTTTCCAACGCTGATCGGCCGATTTGCGTTGGAAATTGATACAAAAATAGCACTTTTCTTGAAAATGACAGTATACCAGGTGCCATGATTTTACAGGATGCTTTACACTGTCATTCAATAGCAGTCCAGCAAGGTATTTCAAAATGATTTGGTAGTTTTATTTTTTGATGTTTGCAAATGTTGTATTTTCCCTTTAATGGGGCCAGTCACATTTACCATGATTACACTTTATATAAATACACCTACTATAATTGATACATTTTTAAGTATACATGCATTTTGCATTATGAAACATTAAAACCAAACACTGCGTTGATTAAATTTAAGTGTGTACATTTATAATAAAATAATAATAATAACTAATTTATAATAAAATAATAATAATAACTAATTCTTGTAAAGCGCCAAATGCGTTAAAAATTGACGCTCAAGCGCTTTACAAAAAAAAAGATAAACCAGTTAAAATTCAAAAACAATCTACAAACTATATAAAAAAACTTTTGTAGGTGAACATTAGTAAATTGTCTAAAACAGGCAGATACATGTACCGGTACATGTATAACGGACAGACAAAGAACATCAAACAGCGTGACGACCACAACAAAGAGACTAGAAACAAACAGAGTGGGAAACACACACTAGAGGGACAGATGAACAGACAGCAGACAAGACGTGGTGTCCTTGTTGATAAAAGACAGACAAAACTGTTTTAACAGACAGTTAAACTACATACATTCGTACGTACATGTACCGTACATGTACTATGTATTTACATACATGTAGATTGAAGATTGAAGATTTGTTTATTGTCGTCGTGCTTAAAAATTACATGAAAATTGATTTCCCAGTGTACTTGTACATTAACTAAAATCAATACATTGCAAAAAGCAAAACAATTACTATTCACAATACATAATTACATGTACTGTTACTGAAAAACATGGGGGTAGGATACAGAGCAAAGGGTAGTCTTGGTTCTATGTGGCCTTTGCTTTGCATGTTCACCTTCGGACTTAGACAAATATTCCATCAACAGAGGGAGCAATTAACCGTGCAATTTCTAATGACGGGTCTGTAGCAATTAAAGGCACTAATCCTTTATGGAAGGCAAGAATCGATACTCGTTCGATAAACATTGCAGAATCAAAAATGTTTTGATGAGTCATACTGTTGGTGTTATAAACAGTGCCTGGCTCACCATATTGTTGTTTGAGAGCGAATTCAGAGCGTACATGTATACATGTACATGATCATGTGCGTTGTACATGTACATGTAAATCATGTAAACAGTACAATGTACTTGTACATGTATGCCTGAACTTTGGCTATTGGAGCACTTCATACACATGTATACATTGTGTGTGTACACAGGTTTATGTGTAGGCATGTGTTTAATAGCTCCATGCTGTAACCATGTACATGTACCCGGTACATGAACACACAGTGTCAATGACAAATTTCAATGGTACCGATACATGTACATGTGCATACTATGATAATACACGCGTACATGTACACCAAATTGTAGTTTGTACACCCATGCAAACTTGAAGAAAATCAGCGTACTGGTACTAGCAGGCTGGGTTAACATCTGTTGCACTTAACAAACAAAAACCATTAAAAAAAAAAATGCCATACATTTATGTATGCACAAGATGGTACCAGTATACAATAGTAAGATTTTTCTCAATAGTTTCCCATTGTATAGGCCCTTCCATTCAGCAGCCAGCTTTGAGGTGTATTTTTTTAAATTCAGTTTCCAAAATTTTTACAAGAGGTCTTGGGAACTTCGGCACGCTGACCGGAGAAATTCTGAGCACTCTGCACCTAACACTCACAGGCCCATGCTTGGAATTTGTTGGGAAAGGTGTAAAAGTTCCCAAAATTGGATTTGATTGATTTTAATGATAGCAGCTTCTACATTATGTACCTCTGAGGCAGTTTGACCATGCTTGCCAGTGAGTATCTGCATTAGTTTAGGGGAACAAAGTCCAAATTTCCAAATTTCGAGTCTGTATTCACAGTTCGGATCTGAGGAACTGCCCATTAACATGTACACGCCTACTGTAGTTCATGTACCAGTATACAAATATTGAATGCTTCGAGTGGTGTAGTAAAACTAGCCTCCTGAGGTGATCCATGGACCTCGGGAAAATAGAATGGTCCATGGATCACCGAGGGAGGCTAGTTTTACTTTACCACGAGATAAAGCATTCAATATTTGTTTTAGAACACTTCACCCACAGATAATCTGCTTGATTTTAATATTTTAAATTATTTAAATCTGAACACAGTTGAAATAAACTTCAATTTCAATAAAAAAAATTGGTGGAAAATGTATTTCTCTCTTCCAAACTACCCCTTCGCGAAATGTATGAACCCAAGTCTGCGGCGTGCTCTCTTTGGAACAATAGGCGCTACGCGCAACGTGCACACCAGCATCCATTTGCACACAAATACCGCGCCGTGGAAATAGTACTTTGGTTGTTAATGGTATAGTACTTTGGTTGCTACGGGTATAGTACTTTTGAACATGCACAGAAAGATAGCAAAATTAGAAAGTAACATGTGACTCGCTCTCGGCCAATCAAGACACAGAATCTGTGGGTGGGGTGTTATAATACATGACGTGTACCTGCAGTATGTATGTACCGTACTACTTAGCGCTACAACATGTACCGGTACCGTATCACTTGATGGATGCACATGCACACGGTATGGATGGACACAAACAGTTTTCAGCACCGGTACGCAAACAGTATCTTCCTGGTCTTGTACTAGACACAGCTGAAACTCTCAGATTTTGGAATAAATTATTCAACATGTTTAGGGTTTTTCGCTGTGAAGATCTCTTGACTGAATGATTGTTTCAATATCTTGGCTCAAGGGCCGCTGGTACAGATGTGAGAAGCAATAAACTCATAAAAGACATGAAGCCAACTAATCACACCCACAGTTATGCTAGCAACGTCATAGTGGTGGTACTAGGGGGAGACAAGGGGGCATTTCCCCCCACATTTTTTTCTCATTTGCCCCGCCCCCCACGTCTAAAGATTATAATTTCCTTTGCTGTTTAGTATCAGAACTATAGTTGAAAGTAGCAGTCCTACTGATTTGAAAATCACAGGCGTGTGGAAAACGGCACACCTGGATTTCTCCAGGCGTGTGATTTTTCTAGGCGTGTGATTTTTCTAGGCGTGTGATTCTGTGGTCCAAACTGGGACTGAACAATCTGGTATTTGTTTATTTATAATATTCATCTTGGTTTACAGTAAAGCCGTTTCAAGAGCTCACAGAAGTATAATTATGCCGTAAATGTATGCCAAGGTGTGCGGTGCAGAGGGATTCAGGTGTGTCACTTTATTAATTCACACTTCTTGGGAAGCTTTTAGGCCTGTGATGGTGTGGGGGTGCGATCGCACGCCTCAAATCAGAAGGACTGTGAAAGTAGCGAGTGAAATTTTGGAAATCAGATTTATGTTATTGCCACTGCCCCCCCCCACCCTATTTCTTTGCCCCCTCGCTTGCCCCCCCCCCCCCCAAATTGTACTGATAATAAGCAATGCTGTACAGTATGCAATCTACATTGACATACACTGTACATGTAATAATAATAATACCGAAGTCTTATATACATGTAGCGCACGTATCTACCAACAATTAGGTACTCAAGGCGCTGGAAATTATGTCTATTACTAGAGACAGGTAGATGAAATACATGGGAAATATGAGAACCATTATGTAGCACCTTTATAATGGTTTGGTGCTGCGGCGCATTAAGCAGCCACTGCCAGAAACACCGGGGCAAACCCCTTCTCTTAGCGATAAGTGTCACAGGGTTCTTTAACGTGCATTACACAACACACGGGACCTACGGCTTTTCCCATCCGAAGGACGAAGCAATAATGGTAAAGCGCCTTGCTCAGAAGCGCAAGCACCATGTTCCCACGGTCAGGATTCGAACCCATGCACCACGGCACACGAGTCGAACACCATAACCATTGGACCACAGCACCCCACAATAACATGTACAGTCGAGTCTCGTTATAACAAACTCGTTCGGACCTAGCCGAATTGTTTGTTATATCAGAATTTTGTATTAAGAGGAACATCAGTCCCATTCATTGTGCACATAAATGCACAGTCAGGACTAAGGCTTTATGTTTGTTATAACCAGAATTTTGTATTAACAGAGTTTGTACTAACGAGACTCGACTGTACATTGTACCATGGAAATGGTGATCGCTCAGGGAGTATGTACACCTTTCATTACAAATGTTCAACTTGTCCCCTCCTTTTTTGGAGGAGGGGGCAAGTGGTGGGGGGGGGGGGGCAAACCACAAATGGAAACTTTTTTTTAAATGGGTTTGAAATTGACAAGGAACATGTCTTTTTTCCCCATAATATTATTAAGTGAATGATTTTTTTGTTGTCTTTATATCTATTTGCAGCACAACCATGCATCTCCAGGTATGGACATCAATGTGACTGAAGTCTGGAATCATAACATCACCGGCACAGGAGTGGTGGTTGCTGTTATTGATGATGGTAAGCCCATGCGTTTTGAAGAACACATGACTTTTGTTTTATCGAAGCCCGTCACACCAGCATTTAAGTGGGGGAAACTCTTGGTTCTAGACTGAATTTAAGACCATGTTTCCTTGATACAGCTAGTCCAAGAACAGCCGGGGGCAAGTTCGCGCAAGGACTGTAGTTGACCAGTTGTTAACCATAGTTAGACTAACGCTTGCCCGAACTCTGTCTAGTCGATGATAGTCGACTACGCTAGTCCACTATTTGATACCAACCTACTGGGGCTGGTTGCATCACTGGTAACCAATAGCCCAGCGCATTCATAACGTACAACAGAGAGCCAGGACCCAGAAGTTTTGCGATGGCATTTTGACCAGTGTTTGACTAGAGACGTTCGCACGTTGCTATTAGTGCGCAGGCGTAAGGTACATGTACCGGTACGTCACAAATCAACCACTAGTCGACTAATGGTCCTTGCCCGAGCTTGGCCCAGGCTGCTGAGATATTACCGAAACATACATGTACACGTACATGTACTTCACAAGTTCACACTGTCTGGGACACTAGCCTCTTGGTCAATTTTAATTTGCTTAAAATTCTTAATCAAAAACTTAGAGAGGCTTGATATATTTCGTCTTAAGCAGAGACTTCTGCAGAGGCAACTGTTTAAAATTATGTCGCACTTGCAACCAATTTATTGGCTTGAGACCATGGGTGTGTATACATTGTACCTACCGTAATGTATGTTCCCCTGTCCCTATAGTTTCACAGTCCCTATATTCCCCAGTCCCTATGTTCCCCACAGAGTGACCCCATTCATATATCCAGTAGCCCTAACCCTAGAAGAACACTGGGGAACATAGGGACTTGAGAACATTGTGGATTTGGGAACATATATAGGACTGGTAAGCATAGGGACTGGGGAACAAAGGGACTGGGGAATATAGGGACTGGGGAACATATACATGTATAGGACTGGTAAGCATAGGGACTGGGAAACAAAGGGACTGGGGAACATAGGGACTGGGGAACATACATGTATATAGGACTGGTAAACATAGGGACATGGGAACAAAGGGACTGGGGAACATATATAGGGGCTGGGGAACATAGGGACTGAGGAACATAGGGACCGGGGAACATAGGGACTTGAGAACATTGTGGATTTGGGAACATATATATACGGTAGGACTGGTAAGCATAGGGACTGGGAAACAAAGGGACTGTGGAACATAGGGACTGGGGAACATACATGTATATAGGACTGGTAAACATAGGGACATGGGAACAAAGGGACTGGGCAACATGGGGACTGAGGAACATATGGACTGGGGAACATACATGTACATGTAGGGACTGGGGAACAAAGGGACTGGGGAAAATATGGACTGGGGAACAAAGGGACTGGGGAACATAGGGGCTGGGGAACATAGGGACTGAGGAACAAAGGGACTGGTGAACATAGGGACTGAGGAACAAAGGGACTGGAGAACATTATGGACTGGGGAACAAAGGGACTGGGGAACATATGAACTGGGGAACATATGAACTGGGGAACATATGAACTGGGGAACATATGGACTGGGAACATAGGGACTGGGGAACATAGGGACTGGGGAACATCGGGTGGACCCCCAGACAATGACCAGTGGATGCTTGTTGCTGGGACCCAAACCCATTCTTTTACGTTTACCTATACTTCCAAACAACTTAATTGATATGTTTGGACACTCTCCGTGCAGGTCTGGAGTGGAGAAACGAAGACATCTTAGCCAACTACGTAAGTCCCTTCTTTCTATCTTACAGTGTGTACTCCAGTACGACAAAAGAAAATTGAACCTAACCCTCCTCAATCCTCCAAAAATCGACCAGGCAGTTTTGGAGGATTTTTGGGGGATTTAGGCTGAATGGCAGTTGGTATTGGAGGATGCATTGTTTCAAGGTCTTTAGCCGGCCTCAGGTCGACCTTGCAACGACACAGATCAGTCGGCCACTGACTTTTCAGGATCAAGCTGCATCTGAGCTACGACCGTGGGGAACAACTCAGTCGCCGATTTTGTGCGACCTGAGTGTAACTGCGACGATATTAAAACGATCGGCATCAGTTGGCACTAAAAAAAATCAACAGTCGCAAGAGTAGAAAAAATGTCAACTTCTGCAACGTGTTCCGCGACCATCACACAATTTCTCAGTTTTGTGACCTGAGCATTATTTTTCTGCTTGATGCTGACGGTTCCGTCGTGGCGCGAGCAAATCGTGGGTCGACCTGAGGCCGGCTTTAAGCTCTACATGTACCCTGCATTGTACATGTTCTGCCCTGCATATTTGGGGCATTATACTGGATACCATCCACAATGCTTTTGGATATCATTGGCAATGCCTCAACATATTGACAGTGATTGTTGGAGATTTTGAAGGATTGAGGCAGCGGCCACCCCTCCACTGAACAAATTAACGAAATAACAGATGAGTTTGGAGGATTGAGGCAGAATCCAATTTGAACATGGTGGCAGTTGGAGGATTTTGCAGGATTGAGGATGAATCCTAGCCAAAAGGGCCTAGGGGGTTAGGGTTAATAAATGATTACATATATACTTCAGGGTGAGTAAAAAAAACCGAAATCCAAATGTCGGGACCATTGTTTTGTTGAAGTTCTCCGGCTCTGTGTAGCCATTTCAAGGATATGAAAGCTCAATTCTAGTACAAGAATCATTCAAATTACTCATGTACTTTTCAAGTTACGGAATTTTAAACACAACCCCCGTTTTACAGTTCCGTCCACAGATCACAAAAAAGGTGTGCGTTCTTTCAGCAAATCAAAAACAATTTGCACACATCCCTATGTGATTTGTTTTCTTCTTGCTGAAAGAACACTGAATATACAAACTCGTTCGGACCTAGCCAAATTGTTTGTTATATCAGAATTTTGTATTAAGAGGAACATCAGTCCCATTCATTGTGCACATAGATGCACAGTCGGGACTAAGGCTTTATGTTTGTTATAACCAGAATTTTGTAAGAACAGAGTTTGTACTGAGATTCGATTGTCTTTGTTCTTATCCAGAATGCAAAAGGCAGCTGGGACCTGAACAACAATGATCCGGACCCGATGCCCGAGGTTCACAAAGACGACGGGAAGTCACTGAATCGCCACGGGACCCGCTGCGCCGGGGAAATCGCCGCCGTGGCCAACGACAAGTGCGCCGTGGGGGTAGCCTTCAATGCTCAGATATCTGGTGAGAATATTAATTACCATACTTTTCAATGCACACATATCAAGTAAGATTACACTAGTGCACAGATACATGTATCTCGTGAATTTGTCTCCGTTCTATAGTTTTCAATAAGGGAATAAATATGTGCTAGGCCGGTGAGATTTGAAAGTTTGCATGGTGAAGGGTAATAATAAGGTAAGGCTGCATCCGAATCAACTGTCTAGAGCTAGGTCTAGGTCTGTGCCCATTGAAAATACACGGGGACGCGCTGACAATTGACGTAGCCGTAGCTCGGACAATTCGGACACGGCCTAAGTTGTTGCGGTAGCACCATGTGGCAAAATATCTGGTGTGAGTATATGTGTGGTTCTGAAAAGAACCGGAGGGTACTCTTTACAGAACCACACATACTCACAAAAGAGATTTGCTTGGCCGGTGTTAAACAAGTACGTTTTAAACCGGCTAGGGGCCTGGATGCGGATTAACCCTTTCCTTCTCATGGGCGACTTTTGTCGACAAGAAGTACCCCCCTGCTGGTTCCCATGGGCGACTTTAGTCGACCAGGAAACCACACACAAAACACCATTAGCACAGATATATTCACTACCTTTCAGAAAGGCAGCATGTTGATATGTTTGGCCGCCCATACATCAACTATATACCAGCTGAAAGAGTGTTTTCGGATCTTTCTAATGGTGTGGTTTATTCATAGTGTTACCATTACAAAAAAAATGAGAAAAGTGCTTCAGAAGTATCCATGCACAATTTGAGGTATGGAGTGCCATTGGGTCATGTGGTGAAATGGCTTGCAGTTTGATAATTGGGACCAGATGAACAAAAAGGCATAACTTTCTTATATTTACACGTATGGACTTCATTTTTACATCACATAAAAGAGGAAGGTTTAAGGAACAAACTTTACACACAACACCTATGATTTTAATCACTCCTTGGCAGTGAAAATCTGGGTTGAAAAAAGTGAGTTTTCGACTCGTACTCATTTTTTCACGCTCTAGTGATTTCCGCATGACTGAGCAAACAATTTGGTCCTGGGGAGAGCCAAGTCAATAAACAATGTGGGCATGAAAGGGTTACCTTTCGGTCAAAAGTCAAAACAAGTCAAAAATTCACAAATTTCCAATGATTTTGTTCAACAATTTTACTTTTTGTTTTGTGAAACACACCTCTGGCCATGATGTATGTGCCTTATAAAATATCCTTATATGGAAATTAACGTACGCGTACTGCGCGATGTGATGCAGAACACAGTGGTGTTTTACCGATGGTTTAAAACCACCCACGCGATGGGCTCTCGACCAATAGGAATAGATAAACTGTCTCAGGTTTTTTTGATAGGGGCAGATATCATGGAGTGTAATTGATGATATCATTGACTTCAGTGCAAAGATACCTGATGAATATACTGGAAGTTTTTACATGAATTCACAGTGTGTGCAAGAGCAACGCAAGAAAGGTCATTAGACAAACATTAACAAGACATCATGACTAGGCTGACACTACAGCAGACATCAGATTGGATATAGGCAGACCAAAGGGTGCAATAATAAACTAATAAAATAAGTTTAAAGGAAGGGTAGATCATTTGTCATTTGTGCAATTTTGTTTGTTTGAAGCAACAAAAGTGCTCAAAATCTAAAGATGGGTGCTTAACAGCTAACCTGGTGAAATTTTAGCTTCAGTGAATGCTGTGTATTCCGAGAAAATAATATTCTAGGATCTCGATTTCAATTCAAAAGTTGCTGAATCACATTTTGAATTGTGCCCGAAATCAGCGTCCGGATCACGTTCTCATTCAGCCAACTGCAGCTATGCGATGTCACGCACTGAAGCGACAACTAATAGCAACCACGTGCGTGTGTGTCGTGTCAATGCTTGCGCGCACCTTTCACGGATTCGGAGAATTACAAACCAACTACTAACGGAAATTTCCAAAAATGCGTCACTTGATGCATCTTTGGGAATGGCCTTCTTTTATTGTTTTCTTCAAAATGACAGCATGCCAGAAAGAATAGTTTCACAGGGAGATTAGTGCCATTACTATCTTTAAACCAAGTAAGCTTTTCAAAAATAATTTTGTCGGTTACTTTTTGGATAGCTGCAAATGATCTACTCTACCTTTAATAAACTAAACAGTACAATACAATAACTACAATATTTAATGACATTACAGAAATCAATGCTTGTTACAGTACAGAAAGCAACTTGGTATTTGGTTTTTCCGAATATGCATTAATTTCTCCCATCATGTGTCAGACAGGTTTGCTGAATATGCAAATGAGACGTCTGTTTCTGACAAAACAGGTGCACAGGTGACAGCTGGCATTGAGCCCCACACCCCCTTCCCTCCTCCACCCCCAACACTTCATGAAATATTCCTCCAAATAGAAATTGCCGAGAATTAAAGAGCCGATGAAATGAATTTCACACTGAGCTACGTATTGTGTGGCCAATATCCTGATGCGTCTGAACTGTATGATAATAATCATAATGAAGCAGCATCTGGTTGGTTATGAGTGCGTACATTTTTGTGGGCCCCCCCCCCCCCATACCTGGTATGTGCATTTTTCCTCTTATATATGAGCTAGCCCTAATCCTTAAAGGGAATATACAACATTTGCAAACATCGAAAAACAAAACTACAAAGTTTTTGCGAAATTCCTTAATAGGATGTTGGTAAATGACAGTCTAAAGCATCCTGTAAAATTATGGCACCTGGTATACTGTCATTTTCAAGAAAAGTGGTATTTTTGTATCAATTTCCAACGCTGATCGGCCGATCAGCGTTGGAAACAACTGGCTTTTTTTCAAATACTGGCCCCAATTGACCATCGCACTTGTTTGCAGTCGATTACAAACCTATGAACGGGTACGAGCCAGCTAGACTGGTTCCCTGACCTTACAATTCCCCAATGTATGTAAACTGCTCTGTTTCTTCTTATATGGAGTCAGGGAACCAGACTACAGGAAAATGATCGTTTTTCTTGGTTTTTATAACATTTTCGAACCCAAAACCTCAAAAAAGTCAGTGTAACTATATTTGCTTTTTATTTCCAACCCCCCAATTCCATCCATTTCTGAAAATGACAGCAAAAGCAAATGATGTATATTCCCTTTAAAGGGAATATACAACATTTGCAAACATCGAAAAATAAAACTACCAATTTTTACGAAATACCTTACTAGGATGTTGATAAATGGCAGTCTAAAGCATCCTGTAAAATTATGGCACCAGGTGTGAAGTCATTTTCAAGAAAATTGTATTTTTGTATACATTTCCAACGGTGGTCGGCCGACCACCGTTGGAAAAAACAATTTTTCAACTACTGCTTCCAAATTTACCGTACCTTTTTTTCAGTCCAAATTTTGTTTGCTTTTGTTACATGTTCATTAACGGGTGCAGAGCAGCTAGACTTGGTTCCCTTACCTTACAATTTTCTGGCATCTATAAATTGATCCATTTTATCTTTAGTGGAGTCATGGAACCAGACTACTTGAACGTTTTTGTTTTTCTTGGTTTTTCCAGCATTTTCGAACACAAAATTGTAAACATACAATGTATCAGTGTAACAATATTTGATCTATTATACTAACCCCTCAAATAGTTCATTTCTGAAAATTACAGCAAAAGCCAATGATGTACATTCCCTTTAATAAAAACGTCATGGATTTTACCTTTAACCTATTAGTTGGGTTCAACCAGTTTCAGTTACATTTAATCCAGGGAAATCAGTTACAATTGTAAACCATCATATTGTTTTTCTGTTAGTTTGGCATCTGTCTTATACAGGTGTAATACATTCTACTGGTAGGTTAGTAAACATGGTAAAGATTTTGAAAAACCTAACATGCCCTTTTTTAATCTCCTTGTACATGTACTAGAGTTTACATGTACACAATGTACATGTACATACCTGAAAATCAAGTCAAGATACATACATGTACAATACAAGGTTTGTGAAAGTGAAGCCTGCCGCACACTTTTCCAATTTTACTTGGCCATCGAACGCACAGATCAGACAGGTGTGCGCTGAAAAATTGTAACGATCTTACGGTATACCGGGCGATCAAATGAAACCAGTCATGTTTTGATTATTTTTTTTCACATCCAATTTCACCGGATCTGATGTCACCAAAAAGGTGTGCGGGCAGCACTCTGATTCCACCGAAAGGGATATTTATGTTGTTAAGCAATCAAATTCATGAAGGAAGTAACATTGTTAAAAAAAACCCTTACTTTGTACATGTACATATAGCCTACCGGTATGACTTTACATACATGTACATTGTACATGTACATTGCACTTTGCATGTTAGGGCTGTGCCCAATATTCGAATATTCGAATATTCGATCGATTGTCGAATATTCAGATATCTTTTTTTGGATTTGAATATTCGGAGGATATTATGAAGTGAAATAAGCAGCGGAAATTTAACTTTTTATGATGGTAATCTCATTCCAGAGACTAATTTTAAGGTGATTCCTGATGCCTTAAAAGCAGCCGATATGCTTTACAGCAATATGCAGAAATCATCTAAGAATTATGGAATGCATTCTTGATGTGCAAAGTACAGTACAACACCGCTATAACAATTTTTAATGGATCCTTTCATGTTCATTATAGCGGCGCTGTAATAGCATTGAGAAGCTTTTGTAATAAATTATTATATGCAATTTCGTGCATGAACGAAACTGTTTTTGTACATCTATTGTTCATAAAATATCTGCCGTCAGGTAAGACCAAATATTCGAATACTCGATTGCATTTGAGTTTGAATATTCGAAAAGTCAATTATTCGAACTGACTCAGCCCTGTTGCATGTACCGGTAGGCCAATGAGTTTTTTTCACTTGAAAACTTTGTCTTGATAAACGTGTGTGTAATAAAAGTGCATCTTTGAACTTTAAAATGTGCTAATAATAGAACACATGTATATTTAGAAGCAACACAAGTTGTCCAGGCAAGGGCTACAGCATGCCCGGGTACCAGGTCATGTCCAGGCAAGGGCTACAGCATGCCGGGCACCAGGTCATGTCCATATTCTGACTGCCTACATTCAGAGGAAGGAAACAATTTGCATTTTGATCCCGTTTGCGGAACCTGAGCCAGACATGTACCGGTATCATGAGCTCAGTATTCAGAGACATGTACTCGTGACCCAGGTCGCTCAATTTTTATACCCGTGTAGCATGAATTTAGGTTTTATGAAATACGGACTCATTGGTGGTTTTGCGCATGCTCATGCATCTATAATTAGGAGAGGGGACCGGTCACGTGAGAGGGTTTAACCAATAAACGGGAAAAAAGAGTCCGATTTCATACGAGTCCAATTTTCATATGACACCCGTATACCGTTTCAGCTGCGAGTAATATGTAAATTTGTTCTCCTCATGCTACTTTAATGCATATTGTTACACCCAGAACAAGTGATGTTTCTAGCAATTGTACAGACAGAAGTTGTTCGTTTTTTGTTTCATGAAACAGGGACACGAGGGAGCATTAATGTTTATATGTGTAGGTATGTAATACCGGTACATGTACAATGTACATTGTACATGTACATGTATGAAGTTAAATTAACAAATTTCGAATTTTTTGGAGCCCAGTAATAATCATGGCAGATATTCTGGCATGTTTTTAGGTACAAAAGCAACCCAGAAGAAAAACCTTTTTATCAGAGGGTCGTAGATTCCCCAAAAAGGAAAAAAAACAATTCCTGTTTGAATAAAAATAAAAAAAAAACACAAATAGGAAAGTGTGAGAAAACAATTGGATTTGTTGACGAGCACAGACTAGGAGAACCAACTTTAGACAGAAAAAAAAGTATGATCCTTTCTTTTTAATTGACAAATTGGTCAGACTCGTCCATCATAATTCATCAAGTGACTAAAGATTGCTGTGATTACTGTTTATTTATTCAGGTATTCGTCTCTTGGATGGACCAATGACAGACAGTCTAGAGGCCACCGCCTTCAACAAGAACATGCATATTAATGACATCTACAGCTGCAGGTATGGGCTGAGAGGCGGGGACATCCTGGATCATTGCATATTCATAAAAAAAAACTGCATTTGTAACAACATGTGCAATTCCAGGGTCACCCACATGTCTGTGACACAGCTTTTTAAGAGCTCATATATTTAAAATCTTTAGGCATCCATCATCTGGAAATGCTCATGGTCAAGGAGATTACAGACTAGGAGTTTTGGATCATTGCTCTTCCTCATTAATTAGATATCATGGTTAATTTGCTCTGTCACGGACACTGCACATCTTTTTGTAATGCTTTAATTGCCCACATAAGTACATGGTTAAGGTTTGTCTCAAAGTGTTTTGGAACACTTGCCTCACATGGTTAAGGTTTGTCTCAAAGTGTTTTGGAACACTTGCCTCACATGGTTAAGGTTTGTCTCAAAGTGTTTTGGAACACTTGCCTCACATGGATTAAGGTTTGTCTCAAAGTGTTTTGGAACACTTGCCTCACATGGTTAAGGTTTGTCTCAAAGTGTTTTGGAACACTTGCCTCACATGGTTAAGGTTTGTCTCAAAGTGTTTTGGAACACTTGCCTCACATGGTTAAGGTTTGTCTCAACGTGTTTTGGAACACTTGCCTCACATGGTTAAGGTTTGTCTCAACGTGTTTTGGAACATTTGCCTCACATGGTTAAGGTTTGTCTCAAAGTGTTTTGGAACACTTGCCTCACGTGGTTAAGGTTTGTCTCAAAGTGTTTTGGAACACTTGCCTCACATGGTTAAGGTTTGTCTCAACGTGTTTTGGAACACTTGCCTCACATGGTTAAGGTTTGTCTCAACGTGTTTTTTTTTTAACACTTGCCTCACATGGTTAAGGTTTGTCTCAAAGTGTCTTGGAACACTTGCCTCAATAGCTTGCTCAGAAATAGACCAACTGTTGCACATGTTGTATGGCAGCTATCTTCAGGGTGCAGTGCATGTGTTTCATAAAGACACATGTGTACGAGTAGATAGCGTGTTTTGTATAACCGGCATCAGTGTCCTTGTCATTTGATTGGTGGAACTCACATCACGTGACATTCGTTATTACTCCCATTCACGCCGGGTCTCAAAAAGTACTCTCCGCCCATGGGGAATGGGAAATACTATTGAACAGTTAGGATCATTCTTATTCCAAGAAGCAGTACTTGTGCAAATGCATGCCGGTGTGCGCATTCATCGTTGCGTGTAGCGCGTATTGTTCCAAAGAGCCAGCGCTACAGAGTGGGGTTCAAACATTTTCGTGAAGGGGTGGTTTGGAAGAGAGAAATACATTTCCCATCAATTTTGTAGTGAAATAAAAGTTCAAATATGTCAAATGACAAGGATCTATATGTTAGTAATATAAAACAAATATTGAGTGGCTTTAAATTGTGAAATGGGAGGAATATTATCGCTCGGTAACATCTGGACTTTTCCAGTTCACTCGGCTTCGCCTCGTGAAATGGAAAAGTCCAGATTTTACCTTGCGATAATATTCCTCCCATTTCACTCTGAGCCACTCAATATTTGTATACTCCTGTCAGCATTACTGAGCTATTATAACAAATAAGGCCCTCAGAAATGGCTGTCATTGAAAAGGGCCTCTTACCGGTACACAAGAGATTGGCCATGACTCTGTAATGAACATTCAAATCATGAATAAATGCAATTCGCTACACTGGTGAATAGCAGAGCCCAATGCAGAAGTTCACATCCCCAACCGTTAACAACATTCACATTGTTAAGGATTGTCAAATCAAAGTTTGATCTCATTGTGTTATCTCTATAGCTGGGGTCCGGATGATGACGGCAAGACAGTAGACGGCCCCCACCCCTTGGCACAGGTCAGTTAAAGGTTATTTTTCTATTTGCAAAACTGAAAATTAAAGGTATAGTCCATCATTTGTAATGTGTGCATTTTGTTCGTTTGAAGCAACAAAAGTGCTCAAAATCTAAAGAAGGGTGCTGAACAAGTAACCTGATGAAGTTTCAGCTCAGCTTCAGCTGTATATTTCGAGAAAAACAACATTCTAGGATCTCAATTTTGAATTGGGCCTGAATTCAGCGCCAGAGACACGTTCACACTGAGCCGATTGCAGCTACAAAATGTATGCAATGTCACGCACTGGTCAGATGAAATTAAAGCTATCGCGCGCGCGTGTGCGTTATGTTGATGCTTGCGCGCGCTTCGCCGAATAAAAAAACGAACTACTAACAGAAATTTCCAGCGGTGTTTCTTAAGACGCACCGTTGGAGAGGCCTTCTTTCGTTGATTTCTTCAAAATGTCAGCTTGCCAGAAGGAATAATTTCACAGGGGGTTTTAGTCCCCTTACTATCTTTCAACCAAGAATGTTTTTCAACAATAATTACTTTTTGGATAGCTGCAAATGATGGACTCTGGCTTTAAGTTGTTGTGCAAAATTGATGTGCATTTTTTTCTGGTAAATTCACCTAAATTTGTTTAGCTACATGTACACATGTGTGAACATCCATTAGTTCGTGTACTGCTCCAAACCATCCTGTGTGTTACTCACTGTATCGCCCCACACCGCCCAAGCGCTCTATGGTTTTATAGATTCATTGGGGAATATATACAATGTAATACAATACATATGTATTACAATGTAATACAATGTACATGTAATGCATTGTAATACATGTGTACTCTCTGTATCACCCAAAAGAGTCCCATTACTCAATGGTGATATGGATTCAGCAGGGAATAAATACAATGTAATACAAAGTAGTACAATTTAATACTGTGTAATACATTGTAATACATGTGTACTCTCTGTATCACCCAAAACAGCCCCAGCACTCTATGGTCTTATGGATTCACCAGTGAATAAATACAATGTAATACAGTAATAATACAGGTGTAACATAATGTGAAGATTATGTGTATGTCACTTTTTTTCGTGTTCTGTTTCCATATAATCTTAATATTTGTTTTGGTTCACAAATTTGTTTCTGTAGGCTGCCTTGAAGCACGGCGTGACGGCCGGACGCAGAGGCCTTGGCAGCATCTTTGTGGTTGCCAGCGGCAACGGTGGACGCAACGAGGACAACTGTAACTATGACGGCTATGCAAACTCCATGTACACGGTTACCATAGGTCAGCCACAAACCAAAAGTTTAATTTGTTTTTCAAATTCCCGAGAGTGAACTTATTCAAGTATACCAGCCACAACGCACCCTCCGTTCTAGCTCAACATTGCTGCTCAGTACACCGGTCACTCGCACTAAGACTTATGGACATCGTTCCTTCATGCATGCATCACCATCGCTTTGGAACTCTCTCCCACACCATATTAGAACTGTCAATGCCGAAAATGAATTCAAAACACTCCTTAAAACTTACCTGTTCCATTAATTGCTATTAATTGTTGTTTTCTGTGAAGCGCATCGAGACCTTGGTGTGATGCGCCATATAAAAACTGTGTTATTATTATTATTATTATTATCTTATTTTATGTAAATTATATGCGAAGTGAAGTTAGCAAAATTGAACATTTGTGACAAAATTCAACCGGAGTTGAAACTTTGTCATTAGATCAAACGGAGACAATTTTTTGTCTTCTAAAGCTGAAGATAGCCTGCCTTAGGGTCGGTCCACATTTCGAATGGGAAAGAGATTCCAACAAATTGAAACAGTCTTGGTAAACTTTACTGTAGTTGAAACGTTTTCAATTTCTGTGCATTTGTAAATACATTAATATGCAGCATGCTTTCACATGCTGTAATACACAATATTGCGTCTGCAATTGCTATGGTGCTGGATATATTGCCTGGTCAGGTATGGTCAACGATTCTTGATTGATTGCAGCGCCCAGTTTATCAGAGCTCTTCGTGTTATGAAAATGAATGCTTCGTGGATTATTGGTGTGTTATAAAACAAATATTGACTGGCATTATTTAGTCGCTAGTGCACATATATGCCTCGTTAGACCTGGTCATGAGCACAATAAGATTGTACTGCCCTCAGCCTTGGAGAATAGGAATCTCTTGTTGTGGCTGACTGTCTCTTGGGGTTCATAGGTAAATGTACGTTATTCAGGATTTCCGTGGCCTGTTCTCAATTTCCAGGCCTGGAAAAGTCTTGGAAATTTGTAAAAATGACAAAATTTAAGTCATGGAAAAAATCAAGGAATTTTGTAAGGACCAATTTATTTTGAATTCTAAACTTAAATTTAGCATCAGAAATCGGAATAATGTGACAAATTTTGGCATTTTGCTTCCATTGACATGCATGTGTTTGCCAGTCATAGCCAAGTAGTTCGTACAGGTCCGAACTTTGTACCAACATTTTGTTTCCTGCTCATGTACATGTAGGTGCTGTGGATGAGTCTGGTCAGATGCCTTACTACGCGGAGCAGTGTGCTTCCATGCTGGCCGTCACGTTCAGCAGTGGCGCTGCTAACAAACGCAACATTGTAAGTCAAAGTGCCGGCAAGTCCCGCGCGTTTTTGTCCAGTGTGTCTCCGCTTTTTAAGACGAACTGTCCATGCTACTTTTGACTTTCGTTCTTCAAAAATAGTTTTTTTTTTTTAAATTGCTGTTTTTCTTGCAAAATAAAGATTATTCACTTTGGGGCGAGATATTGAATAAGCCATTTCGGAGTTACAAAAATGTACTACTGCGCATGCGCACGTGCACATCCCATGACAACGATTAGTGTCGGGGATAAACAGTTCGCCACACGCGTGCAAAATCATAGCGGGGTACCAACGAAATCAAAGAAAAGTTCTTTTTTTTTGAAGTAGATGCAAAATGTTGATTCAATGATTGTTTTCAACGGCACCATGGTTTAAGATGTTTTATATGCTCCAACTTTTGTGCGAACAAAAATATCCATCTTCTGTTTTACTAGAACAAAATTGCAAAATGTGGATTTGGTTACCACGTCCCCCATAGACTTGAGTGCATTTATCTGCTTTGTTTATCTTCCGACACTAAATCGTTGAGTCTGATGTGCGCACGTGCAGTAGTACATTTTTGTAACTCCGAAATGGCTTATTGGCTCACCTCTCGTTATGGAATGATAACTTCACAATTTTTTCAAACGTATATCTCCTGAGCTGAATTTTCCACAGGTTTTTTTTTTTATAAACCTGCTTCAAATTTATTTTGTTGTTCCTTGAAGCGGCAAAAATATGTTGTTTTTTTTTTTGGAAATGGTGTCCATTACCTTTCCTGACTCGTGGTGACCTCTTGTTTACATTTTGACCCAAGTTGAATCTAGACTTGACCCCGCCATTTGCAGGAAAAGTCAAATTGTCAATGTCACCTTTTTTACCTGAACGCAAACTCCACCAAGGACCCATAATACTTTCGTTCCATTAAAACCTAGCCCTTCAAATATCAATACAAAACCAAGGTTTACCCCCAAAATACCGGTATCTGCTTGTTTTGCAGTCCAGGAACAGTCACCTATGTCAAGGATAATAATAAATAATAGAACTCAAATTGGATCCTGTTTTTTGTTGGTACCGATTTGACCTCCCATTTCGTCATCTCCAAAGGCAGATTCCCTGTGCTGTGGATGATTGGTTATGAATGGGTGGTTGTAGTTTAATGGCCCTGCAGTGTCCTTGCCTGTTAAAGTTTTTACAAAAAAATCCAAAAATAAACGGAGGCACAGGGACATTTGGTGTTTTTTTTTTGTAGTGTGACGTGAAAGTTGATATTGTGTGTAATGGTCTTGAAGTACATGTAGCACTGAAAGGCAGTGTACCATGTGTTAGCATACATGTACAATGGTGGACCTTTCCACCGGAGAACAATGAAGGTCCATGATAGAAAATTGTGTACAGAATCATCTTTTTTTTTCTGGAAAAAAAACAGACGAATTATGTGTGGGTGTGTTGTGGGGCATCTGTTAATGGTGTAAATCGAGGACACACATGTGAAGCATCATCAATGAATTGAGGACAGGAGTCAATTTGAGGTCGCCCTTGATTAGAAAACGTGTACAAAACCGGTGAGAGCTGTAGCAAAAAAAGTTAAGAGTATAAACAAAGGATCGATGAAGAGGAACAATAGAAAATCCTCAATGTACACCATAAACAGACGTGCTGGGGTGGGAGATGTCTGACTGTTTGTGGCGCTGTTCAGATGAATAGGTTAACATGTACATAGTTTTACATGGTGTGCTATTTTGGCAAAAGAAAATTTTGTACGAATGAGATCAATCTGGATTTTTATCTAAAAATCTAAATATAACCACAGTCATGTAATCAGTAAATGGTAGGCTAATGGGCTTAAAATTAATTTGCCAAAAAAATATATGTTATTTTGCTGATAGAAAGAACAACGATACAGTAAATCAAAAGCAGATTATGAAAAAAAAGTATTAACCCTTCCAGATTTGAGCTCGGTTGAAAATGCGTCTTTAGTTTTCTCCATGGACAAAAAATGATGGAAAGCAATGTTTCCGTTGAAAGCCTTCCCTTCCAAAATGTTCATTAAAGGGAAAATACAACATTTGCAAACATCCAAAAATAAAACTACCAAGTTTTTACGAAATACCTTACTAGGATGTTGGTAAATGACAGACAAAAGCATCCTGTAAAATTATGGCACCTGGTGTGAAGTCATTTTCAAGAAAATGGTATTTTTGTATACATTTCCAACGGTGGTCGGCCGACCACCGTTGGAAAAACCTAACAATTTTTCAACTACTGCTTCAAATTTACCATTTTTCAGTCCAAATTTTGTTTGCTATTGGTTACATGTTCGTGAACGGGTGCAGGCCAGCTACACCTGTTCCCTTACTTTAAAATTTTCCGGCATCTATAAATTGATACATTTCATCTTTAGTGGAGTCAGGGAACCAGACTACTTCAACATTTTTGTTTTTCTTGGTTTTTCCAGCATTTGCGAACACAAAACTTCAAACATGTCAGTGTAACAATATTTTGATCTATTATACTAACCCCTCAACTAGTTCATTTCTGAAAATTACAGCAAAACCCAATGATGTACATTCCCTTTAAAATGTTTTGACTTGCACCCGCTTGTGGTGTGATCCCAGTTTGTCACTCAGGAAAAATCATTCGCATTCACGGTCATTTAGGAGCTGTATGTAAAAAAAATGCTATCTTTTTTTGGCGATGGTTTGGGTCAAACCTTCGCAAGGAAATGACGGTAGTTCCTCTTTTCTTGAAAATGAAAGCAAATTAGGCAGAGTAATTTAACAGGATGCTTCATCTAATAGGATATTTCATAGTTCACCAGTTTAGGTTTTGAATGTTTGGAAATGGTATACCTACTTTAACATTGAATTCAGGTAACGACAGACTGGACTTTGGCCAAGGGTACGGGCTGCACGTCCAGCCACACAGGTACCTCAGCCGCTGCACCGTTAGCCGCGGGCATGATAGCTCTGATGCTACAGGCTAAACCCTGCCTGACATGGAGGGATATCCAACACATCATCATCTATACTGCAGTCAAGGTAGGTTGGGGAGCGAGGATCGTAATAGAAAGAGAGAGACTAAGGGCTGAATTACACCATGTGCAAGTATAGGTTTTGTGCGCAAACAAACGAGGGCGCTTTTTTAACACGTTCGAGAGACCAGTGGAGCACGCGTGTATTGGTTCGCTCCCGTACAGTGCGAAGAATGCACAACTTATTTTATTCTGAATGTGCACAAAGCCAAAGGAGTTGAAATTTCATAGCGTCCAAATTTCTCACTACACCGGCCGTAACTTGTAAGACCCATTGTGTCTGTTATAAAATTCTACTGTATCAATTTGACCATCGCGTTTTTCACAGATTGACCAGAAGAACGCGGTCTGGATCACCAACGCCGGTGGCTTCCACCACTCCCACAAGCACGGCTTCGGTCTGATGAGCGCCTGGAGGCTGGTCAACGCGGCCAAGGCCTGGCACACGGTGCCCTGGCTGACGTCGGTGGAGGGGCTTGTCATGACAGAGAACGCCCCCATCCTGGCAGGGAAGACGCTGATGGTTACGCAGAAAGGTGAGCAATCCGGGAACATCCAGTTACCAGTGTTACAGTCGAGGCTGGTTTAGGGCTCTGCACATGAACAGTAGATTGTGCTTTTTGGCTACAGTACTTATGAGAGCCCAAGTGGGCAGGACACATCACGTGCACGTACTGGTTCGGAGCATATGGTGCAAAGTACACAAAGCGACTTTTGTTCTTAAAGCTAGAGTCCATCATTTGCAGCCATCCAAAAAGTAGCTGACGTAATTCTTGTTGAAAAAACATACTTGATTGAAAGATAGTAAGAGGACTAAATTTCCTGTGAAATTATTTTTTCTGGAATGCTGTCATTTTGAAGAAATCAACAAAAGAAGGCCTTTCCAACGGTGCTTCTTAAGACGCACCATAGGAAATTTAAATTAGTAGTTCACTTTGTTTTGCTGCGCAGCGCGTGCAAGCATTGGCACGACGCACACGTGCGCATGGTTGCTATAATTCGTCGGATCAGTGCACGACATCGTGTAGTTGCAATCGGCTCAGTGAGAACATGTCTCGGACGCTGAATTTAGGCCCAATTCAAAACATGATTCCGCAAATTTCGATTTGAAATCGAGATCATAGAACGCTGTTTTTCTCGGAATATACAGCTGAAGCTGAGCTGAAACTTCATCAGGTTAGTTGTTCAATACCCTTCTTTAGATTTTGAGCATGTCTGTTGCTTCAAACGAACAAAATGCACAAGTTACAAATGATGGAGTATACCTTTAATGGACACACATTCATATCGTCTTTGCGTGAGCATCCAGCATAATTAGAAAGGCATTTGAATGTACCTCTCAGTGGTCTTTCCAGCTCTCCATTGGTAACATTTCAGGGGTGTGCGTGGAGACCACGGGCTCCGTGCATGATCAATACATGGCGCTTCTTGACTGCTAAGAGCTGTCATTTTCTCCCTAATCTTCTACCAAGGAACCCCACTGCCGAGCAATGATTTATTACTAAATGAGTAAAATTGTCCTATTTGTTCCTTTTCGCTTCCAGTTTCTAACATCACTGCGGAGAGGAATGAGCTGCGGAGCCTAGAGCACGTCCTGGTGACGGTCTCCCTGTCCCACGACAAGCGCGGCTTGCTGGAGGTTCATCTCATCTGCCCCAGTGGAACCGAGTCGGTCATCGGCGCCCGACGAAAGAAGGACGAGTAAGTTTTTGAGTCCTCCTTGCTTGAGCCTAGCGGAGCTGATGTTTCAGCTCAGAACGGCACTTGCTGGAGATGGCCATGGATAAACAGTGGAGTCCCCTAGCATGTCGCACTTTTGGACAATTCCCCCAACTTTCCTCATGCAATGTTGCCTCACCTCTTTGTTCACAAGCTTCGCTTTGATTCAGTAACATACTGGCACTGTGTGCATGCTGTTGAACATTTTTGTGAACAATTTTAGTGGCATGGAATTCAGTCCGAAATTTAAATATGGTGGTGTCTGGAATTGGGCACAAAATTACGTTGTGCACTTGAACAACTCTCAGAAATTCCCAAGTTGACGTTTAAGAAATTTCTTTTTAAGTTGACAAGTTCTGATAAACCATTATTAATCCACTCACATGTATCCAACTACCTGTTGTCAGAACATTAATTCCCATTTTCAAAGGGTTTACTGTGCCGTTCGAAACAAAATCAGAAAATCGCCCCAGACTGCCACTTCCAAAGAAAATGCTTCATAGTTCAGGGCAGTATCTCAGGATATGTAACAATGTACATGTACAATTTAGATAACAGTTTATCTAACTTATGCCTTTAGTTTTCCCTCGGTTAAAAAAACACCAAAAAAAATTGACAAACTTGGCGAAAACCACCAAACCCAAAAACAAAATGCCGCTTTGTAGCTTGTGGTTTAATTCAAAACAGATATTGACCGGAATTATTCAGTCAGTAGTGTCAGTCTATGTCCCCTTTTGGCCAGCCAGTGACCACGAGTTCCTATTTCCCTTGGCCTTCCGCATCATGAAAAATATCCCCTCTTATGGTCACTCACAATTCGTCGAGGGGCATAGTCAGACACTAGTGACCTCATTACCAGTCAATATAATATAACCGACATACAGATCCTTGTCATTTGATTGGTGGAACTCACATCACGTTTCATTTGTTATTACTGCCATTCATGCCGAGGCTCAAAAAGTACTATCCGCCCATGGGAATGGGAAATACTATGGAACAGTTAGGATCATTCTTGTTTTATGACGCGATATTTGTGTGCAAATGCATGCTGGTGTGCGCGTTCAGCGTTGCGCGTAGCGCGTATTGTTCCAAAGAGCCAGCGCTACAGCGTTGGGTTCAAACATTTTCGTGAAGGGGTGGTTTGGAAGAGAGAAATACATTTTTCACCAATTTGTATTGAAATAAAAGTTCAAATAAAGCAAATGACAAGGATCTATATGTCAGTTACATAAAACAAATATTGAGTGGCTTTAAATTGTGAAATGGGAGGAATATTATCGCTCGGTAAAATCTGGACTTTTCCAGTTCACTCGGCTTCGCCTCGTGAAATGGAAAAGTCCAGATTTTACCTTGCGATAATATTCCTCCCATTCCACGCTGATCCACTCAATATTTGTATACTATTGTCTTGGTTTTGAGTGTGCAGATCCTGGCATTTTGTTCTTATTTCTTGGCTCTGTCCTCAGATCGTCAGAAGGGCTGAAGAGCTGGACCTTCTCCACGGTGAGGTGTTGGGGGGAGAACCCCGTCGGTGAATGGAAGCTGGTCATAATGGATAACCGTAAGTTCCTTGATGAGAACAGATAACGTTTGTTAAGCAGTAATAGGTTACCAGCTGAAATATACAGGGCGAGTCAAAAAAAAAAAGGGGAACCCAAATGTCGGGACTATTGTTTTAGTGAATTTCCGGACGTAGCACTTTGAAAATCTAGGATAAGAAAGCCCAATTCATAAGCTTTCTTTTAGTACAAGAATCATTCAAATCACTCATGTACTTTTCAAGTTACAGAGTTTTAAACACAACCACCATTTTATAGTTCTGTCCACGGATCACAAAAAAAGGTGTGCGTTCTTTCAACGAAACAAAACAAAAAGGAAACATTTGATTATCCCGAATGACCCGGGACCCACATCATTGTGTACGTGCGCAGTTGAAATACCGAACTGGCTTATCGTAAGGAAATACAGACCGACTACATTAAAGTTGTAAAAGTAATTTTTGAGAAAATGACATTTAAAAATTCCGCTGTTGTATTACAGTGCACTAACAGTCAATTAATAAAACAGGATGAAAATAGGTTTTAAAGAACCAAAGTTTGATAGAACCAGAACAATTTGGAAAGGTAGAACAGGACTTACAAATTGACTTTCACCGGAAAACGAACAATCGCCAACCCCTTCAAAAATTGACCACCACTGTTTTGCAAATTGGTACTGTTCAGGTTGATGCTCATTTCGTGGTGACATTGTGCCTCCACTGCAGAAAACTTAGGACCATAACACTAACCACCTTTTTGCAAAAACATTTTTAACAGTGGTTTTATTTTGTCACCAGATCCCGGTAATTTCAACAGCGTTGAAGTGCGCAAAGGCCAGCTGCAGTCCTGGAAGCTGACGTTATATGGCTCCAACATGAATCGGGGGGAAATAGAAAAGAGGAAAATGTGAGTGTATGGCTTTGACCGAAGTCGGTATTTGATGGCTATGTTGTCAGGTTTTTTTTTCATTTGTGTGCTTGACATGACCTAGGACTTCTCGGACAAGACCTATGAATGAAATTTACCTTTATCTAAATCCAGAGAGAATTTGAAATTAACCCTCCTATGCAAACATACATTCTGTGCCAAGTAGTCCTTTCAGTCAAAATCAAACAAGTGACTGTTTTCAACAGTTAAGACTTCCCAGCCTACATAAAGCAGGATCGACTGGCTGGGACTGTTTATGTAACTTGATACAGCTACGCTTTGTCTCGGGTGATTGAAAAACCAGCCGTGACCACAACTTGCCTGCTTTGTCCGTTTGACTAAATTTGACTAGTCACAGTGCTTGCTTGATGTGATCTGACTGCTGGTGACTAGCCTGTGTTAGAAGTATAGCAGGGGAAGTGGATGGAAATTTTGACTGTCTATGACTGTTTAAATAGCAGGAGGGTTAATTGGCGGTAACTGGAGGTTTACATGTACATGGTGTTATACGGTATTATAAGTAATCACTATGTTTTACAAGGTTTTATGAGGTTTTGGAGGTTTTACATGGTTTTCGGAGGTTTTACGGGGTACCTAGGGTTCAACCCTGAGTTTCTACATGTTTAATGTTGCATTCTTCCCCTTACAAATTTCATGTTTGCCTTGCTTTTGGCAGTCTGGTCTCGGAAGCCATGAGTGGTATCTTCCTAGACGCCAACCTCTCCGAGCCCTGCTCATATTACTGGAATACCGGCTATGAGGACGAGAGCCTCTTGTCGTCCCGCGTGATGGAGGTAAGAAGTAGACCATAGAATCACGAGCAGTCGATGGTGGCTTAAATGCAGCTATGCACAGTACATATCGTGAACAACACCCCTGAGCACCAGATGAGGTTCAGGCCCCAAACCACCAACTCCACCTCTGTCTTTTGCCGTCTGCAACACTGCTTTTTTATTTAATGGTATTCTTTTCTTCTTGTCAGGTTCTGCTCTACATGAGCGGCGTGTTCACCCTCATGGCCATCTACTACACTCTGGAGCAAGCCTTCTGCAACGGCGAGGACAAGGACAAAGACAAAAAGGAAGGTGGTGGTGGTGACAGTGAGGACCTCGAGAGAGGACCTCGCGGCGAGGAGAGGACGGGCCTCCTAGAGGAGTATCAGCTGGATACACTGGGCCGGGCCTGCGTTTATCAGGGGAGTTACCCGGGACACGGTAGAAACCTCACAGAGAGGCAATCTGCAGGAGATGATGACGAGGTTCTCGGAGGCAGAGGAAAAGCGAACCTCAGAGATGGAGATGTGCATGTCAGAGATGAAGAGGCGCTTAGGGCTAATGGCAGCGACGGGAGGCCTAGGCAAATCCATCGAGAAATCGGGGATGGGGAGAGTGACCAGGGAACGCCTCACGCGTGTAAGAACGAACAGAGAGAAAGGGTGCCTCAAATGACTTGTTGCTCCTGCGAGGTTCCTCCTGAGGTTCACCCCGCAGTTTCCCAAACTAGAAATCCCAATGTGACATGGAACAACGAGTCCCAGTCCGAGTGTATACGGACGCACTGTCCCAAATGCCGGAAATCCCAAGTGCAATATAACGGAGCGCCCTCACGTAACCGCCACTCTTTGCTCGGAAATTCGAGGGCGAAACCAAACAAGGAGGTGCCTTGCCAGCATGCCTTTCCCTTTGCCAAACGTAGAGAGGTACAGGCCCAGCCAGTGGCCGGGGAAAGGAGGTCAAGCCCCGCTACGGGGAACGTGTCCCGCGATTCGCTATTGGTTGGTTTGAACGGTCGCCAATCGTCATTGGTCGGTTCAGACTCCGACAAGCCTTCTTCACCTAAAACCTCAACTTGTGGACGGTTTTCCGAAAGCGGCGCCAGGAACTCCTCAACAAGACGCCCAGGATCCGAGGCAGTCCAACCCAGTCTAGAATCTTCCTGCTTATTGGACGACGCACCCGACCACCCCTTTACCCAGCCAATCCCGAGTGGCCTTTTATTAAGCGCAGCCAGCGGAGTCAACAATCCCGGTTCGAGGAGGAATTTGATTGGTCCGCCCGTGTGTAACCGCGGTGACAGTTTACCCCAAAATGAACAGCAAACACCAGGCACAAGTGGAGAAAAACAAACTTGCCGAGATTTGACAGCCGTATTACCGTAGGCCTTACCCAAAAAAATATGAAAAAAAGAACACTGGGTTTATATCATTGACCAGTGTACCAATTCGAGCGATTCACAATGCAGTGCGCCACCAAGAGTTTGCCATGGAATGTCCATTTTTCAAGTTTACGGTCGACAAACATGGTCCATTTGAACGAGTGTCAGTAGACAACTTGAGCTAATTTGTCAAAGATTGGGGCATAATGTTCTGCCGCCTTACAAAAAAACAACATATTGATAAATTTTTTTAAAAAGGGCAAACAGATACTCGAATCATACGCTTACGAAACTACTGACCGGAAAATCTAACAATTTCAAATGTCCCGCGCTGCGAATTTGTCGACCATCTCCCACAATGCACTGGCAAAATGAACTCCCCATGGCAAACTCTTGGTGGCGCACTGCATTGTGAATCGCCCAAATTCATTGTAAGGTTCCAATACCTAATCTTAAATTTACATCACCCCGACGCAAATTCCATCTTATGAATAGTTTCATTGCGTTACCCACTGCTACATCAGATTCGAACCAGCCAACCGATCCCAGTAAGCTCGGTGGTCGAGCGGTAAGACGTCTGCACTAGCAAGCAGGAGGTCGTGGGTTCGAGTCCCACCCGAGTGATTTTTTTCCAACTTTCACTCGGGGGTAACACACAGACTATACAGTGTTAATACGTCAGTTAAGGGCAAAACCTAATATTACAAAAGGTGGTGACTGTTCGTTATTACACGTGTAAAAAAAAAAAAGGTTGCTTGTACTCTGTGATTGTTACAACGAGGCTTCACGTCTCCCGCTCTGCCCGGAAGCGGCATTGCCGCCTGTTGGCTGCTCGTGGGAGAGTCCCTCGGATCGCATGCTTCGGGTACAATCAACTGTGGAACAAGACTTGCACACAGTAGCAGTGATGTGTTCACAGAGAAAAGTGAGGCCGATGACCACAGTTTAAATTGAAGGGGGGGGGGGGGCGGGGAGAGGCAGGAACAACCTGCGTCAAATCTTCGTGGAGCTGCCTTTCATTTGAAATAATAAAAATTGGAATTTGAGAACTTATTATAGGCAGCGTGTTGATTACAAGCAACTTAAAGAACTTGTACAGATAAAATAAGACTGTCAAGCTAACAATTGGAATTTTTGTTTTCAATTTGAAACTTGTGCCAAAACAAAGTTATTCTAACTTTTTAAGTAGTGTGTGTTTTTTTATACATTGATGACTATAAAACAAAGTGTGTGGGGAAAACAACCTGACATTTCAAAAGCTCAGCTGTACAACAATATTTTGCAGATTTTCATAGAATCCACTACAAATACATGTACGGTATACATGTATGTAAATTCCCCTGTTAAAAGACTTACAAGGTATAAAATGTCTAATCCTAGGGGAAAAAAAAAAACGTCGATAGTAAAAAGCGACCAAAAAGTGTGGAAGGTATTTTTTTCAGGGATTGCGTTTGAGAGAAATGCCAGCCATAGTAAAAAAAAAAAAATTGTCCTGTGCATTTTTAAACATCTTGTGCATTCTGCAATTTTACGAAAATTGTTTAAAAAAGGCAAACCTAGTCAAAGGTGTGTCCAGAGCGCACAAAATTCTATTCAGTTGATTCGGAATGACTATTCACTGGAAGTCTGTTCATACATGGTCTACATAATGGGCCGGATTTAACCCATATCATTGGCATTACAGGTAATCCTATATGATAGCACTGCCCAGCTCACTTCACAAGCCTCTAGCCAGTGTTTAACACAAAATGACAGTCAAGTAAGATTTGAGGCTTTGCATGGTGGAGATACTAAATAATGAAAGGTTTGCGGAAACACCATGTGGGAATAATTTCTCAACTAAAGAGAATGGTTCTGAAAAGAACCAGAGGTATAAACTCGACGTTCCGTCAGTATGCTCTGACCGTCTCCTGAAGACGGTCAGAGCATACTGACCGGAACGTCGAGTTTATACCTCTGGTTCTTTCCAGAACCATTCTCTTAGTTGAGAAATTATTCGCACATGGTGTTTCCGCAAACCTTTCATTATTTAAAGCTATAGTCCATCATTTGCAGCCATCCGAAAAGTAACTGGCGTAATTATTGTTGAAAAACAAACTTGGTTGAAAGATAGTAAGGGAACTAAACTCCCTGTGAAATTATTCTTTCTGGGAAGCTGTCATTTTGAAGTAATCAACGAAAGAAGGCATTTCCAACGGTGATTCTTAAGAAGCACCGTAGGAAAATTTAAATTAGTAGTTCGTTTTGTTATTCGGCGCAGCGCGCACAAGGTTTGGAACGATGCACACGCGCGCGCGGTTGTTATAATTCGTCGGATCAGTGCGCTACGTCGCGTATAGCTGCAATTCAAAACAATTCAAAACATGATTCAGTAACTTTTGATTTGAAATTGAGATCTTAGAATGCTGTTTTTCTCGGAATATACAGCTGAAGCTTAGCTGAAAATTCATCAGGTTAGTTGCTCAGTATCCTTCATTAGATTTTGAACTCTTTTGTTGCTTCAAACGAACAAAATGCACAAATTACAAATGATGGACTATAGCTTTAAGATGACAGTCACTCAGTGAGTGAGATGGGTACAATGAGGACACTAGTCTGGACCAGCAAGACGTATTATCTATGGATTGCTTGAACACTATGTGCTTTCTGCTGCAAAAAAAAAAGTAGCCCAAGTGCCTGGGTGTCTCAAATTCATTTTTTGAAACTTTCCGCAACCCTAACCTTTCCAACTCCATAAAATTCCATCCCCCATTTTGGGAGATTTTGGTAGGCAAGCCATGAGTACCAAGTCCATTACACTCCACCTATAGCAGTGGTGCATTTGAGGTGGATTTTGGTGGATTTGGTCCTGAAGCATTATGTGATGCAGAAAGAGTGATGGATTTTGGTGGACTTGGTACTGCTCTTAGTAAAACTCAGTAAGGAAATAGCGTTAATGCGTAATACAGCTCATGAAGACGGTAAAAAAGCCTGAAACAAAAGTGCATTGTTGCACTGTCCTTTTTTTTTTTTTTTTGGCCATTCAAGAGGGAATTATGCACTTGTAGTCTATAGGAACGATTAACATACATGATTATTACATGTTCAGCATTTGGTTTTGCCAGGGGCTTACGAGAAATAAATAACAAGCTCTTAGATGGGACTTGGACTAGTGTTGTAGTCGAGTTGCTTGAATCGAGTCCGAGTCTCGAGTCTCTTGGTTCGAATTCGCATAGAGTCTTGAGTCATTTGGTTCAGGTCCGAGTCATGAGTCGTCTTTTGCCAATATGATGACTCAAGTCGAGTCTGAGCAAAATTGCAACCTGAGGCAGACTCGGATCAGTGTCCTGGACTCGCACAACACTGATTCAATCTGATGACCTGCTTCATGGCGCAGAGGTCACTGGTTGGAGTCCAACCCGAGTAAACTTGGACAAACAATTCTCGAAAGCTGTTGGACAACACTGATCACATGTACGTGGATGCTGTGTTTATTTGCAGTGGACAAAACCCAGCATTGAATTTACACAGAAAGTCCATCATATAAATAGCGAGTTTTTTTACAAGAACGAACATGTATTTTAAAAAAGTTTTTAACAAAAGATTGCTGATTGGCTACTAATTTCAAAAATCTGGTCTTTCCTGAATTGTTCTGCCTTTTTTAAAAAATTATGTACAAGGTGCCAATTTTAATGAACTGCAGCACAAAATAGTTTTGTGCTAAACCTTGGCCTTGGTCAATGCTCTCGTCGTTATTCGTCCCGTACGCAGTCAATCGTCGGCGCGGCATATATCCTCAATCGTCGGTCAAAGCTTATGTTTTTCTTTACTTTGCGCTAGATTTCCAGCGCACGACCTCGTATGTGAATACAGATAATGTAGGCAGGGCTAATATGTGGAGTGTCCAATCACACCTTGGTAAATCCGGACGTCATCAAATTATTTGCAGCTATTCGGCCTTTTGCAGACGTGACAGGAACCACAGTTTTTGTGCATTGGTGCCGTGTGCAGAGACACACAATGTGTTCGTGTATGGATTATGTACGGTGCCACGTTTCACTATGCAAGTTTCCACGCAACGATCGACCAATAAGAAAACGACATTTAAGGTCAGCTAAGGCTATTAACATAATGAGCACCACCCCCCCAAAAATTCACACGGACGATTGAACCAAGGCTCGACATCGTCTCCAACTGATTTGCATAAAAATAGTGGCCGCGTGAGGTCGCTGTTTGCGCTGTATTTTTACATGCATGTGCATAACGCGTGAGGATATATGCCGACGATTGACCGCGTACGGGACGAATAACGACGAGAGCATTGACCAAGGCTAGCTAAACCTATGTATTCTACAGTCCAGATATGTAAAGTTTAACATGTGGTCATTCTGTTGTGTCGTAATTAATTAGCAAATTCTGCCTTTCAAGACGTAATGTCCGTGCTCTTCTTTTTTTTCCCCTGACCTGTGAGTGTTTCAATTGAACAAATAAAAATTAAAGCTTTCTAGCTATGGAGGATGTGTGTGACCTCTTGAAAAAAATAAAAGCTTTAATATTTTAGGTTGCTTTTCAATAGCACACAGACAGATCAGTCCTCCCTGCAAGTAGACTGGTTCCCAGTCCCCACATTATTGATTCTATTAAAGTGAGAGAGGGAACCAGTCTGCCCAGCGAGAGCTAAATTATTGACGGGCCATGAATAAGTTATACAGTAATTGATATTCCACTAGACATTGGTCTTTTTTTCAGTCAGTGTCTCATTAAAAGTAAACAACATTTTGCTAGAAAAATAGCAATTTAAATAATTCATTTTGTTAAGGATGATATACTCGAAATAATGGCACGTATAAGCATGCTGTACATGTATACCATGCTAACTGCTTACCAAATACCCTTTAAAAATTTTCCGCCCGAAATGGTTTTATTCGGAAGAAAACAATCATTGGACGTGGTTTATGTGCATACCAAGGGAATCCAAATACAAGCCCCTGACAATTGTTACATTTTCTCTTTAAAAAAAAAATAAATTTACAGCATCCACAGAGCCGAAACTTCAACGGGTTACTTGTTTTTAGCCCTACTCAAGATGTCGAGCAATTGTGTTGTTTGAAGTGAAGAAAATTCACAAAAAAAGAAAAGAAAATAATACTACACATGTACTTTACATTTAATCATAGACAAACATTGTGTGAATAATGAATGATGTGGTTTTCAGCCTTACACAGGGCCTCTGGAAGCATACAGTCAAGTCTCGTTAATACAAACTCGTTCGAACCTAGCCAAATTGTTTGTTATATCAGAATTTTGTATTAAGAGGAACATCAGTCCCATTCCTTGTGCACATAAATACACAGTCGGGACTAAGGCTCTATGTTTGTTATAACCAGAATTTTGTATTAACAGAGTTTGTACTAACGAGAGTCGACTGTATAAACAAAGACAGTGTGTGCAAATGGTTCATTAGCTTACCATACGAACATTTATGACATTAACAAAAATAATAAGTGTGTGATCAGAAAAAAAGAAAGAAATATGCCTGTTCAGCTGTTGCTCATATGATACATGTATGTGAATTAATATGTGTGACAATTTTAAATTATAGCCCGCGTCAAAAAACAGTGCTTGCTGCGGTATTAAAATGTCTATCAATGTAAGGAGCAGAATAATGTTTACCAATTGTCCAAATTTGTTCAGATTTGGAAAATTGTGGCGTTAACTTAGAAAAACATTCAACGTGAGTGTGCGTTTGTTTATGGTGTAAATCGAGGACACACACGTGCAACATCATCAGTGAAACAAGGTCAGAAACTGAATTGAGGACTCCTCGGTTGGAAAACGTTTACAAAACCAATGAGAGCTGTTGCGAAAAAAAGGACACACAAAGGAAAAGGGAAGATGAACAAAAGAAAATCCTCAATTTACACCATAAACAAACGTGTTAGTGTGTGTTTGGTAATGTGGACTTAAAAGCTGCAAGTTTTTTCAAAATTGATAATTTTGTGATTTTTTTTAAGTGACAGTTAGTTTATATGAATTTTTTTTGGGGTATCATAAGTGACATACATGTATATTTATAAGCCAGAAATAACATTTGCCAAAACTTGACTAAATTCAAAGAATTGTCAAACGTTTATGAGATAATGCATTTTTGTTAACACTTATTTATAGACAAATGAAGCAATGAAATATTTCTCACTTACTTTCAATATTGTGATTCCTTTCTTTTTTTTCTTTTTTGTATTGTGATTAAATGTTTTTCTTTACTTTTTCTTTTTTGGGGGAGAAAGTAATGATGACAAATATTACTTAAAATTGTGAATCAATTTTTTTAGCTATAAAAAACTGATTTCGTTTTTTCTATAGCTTCATTTTAATAGTGTCTCTTTTTATTCCTTGGTGGCGGGAAATCATTTACTGTCTTCGCTAGAATTATATTTTATAAGTGTCATACATGTAGATGATGTTTTTGTTGATACAGTAACATCAGTACTATCATGGACAGATTGTATTTAATTTTGGGTTTTTAAATGTAATAAAAACAAACATGAGAAGCATAAGAACGACTTTGTTGTTTATTGGACAGCTTCATTGTATATATACTTACATGCCTATGGCTACTCGTTTAAACAAAGGGCAGATCCAGAACCGAAGTTTAGGGGCAAGGGCTTGAGAATTCTACCTCCATGCTGAAACTTTGTAATGTTTTCCTTAAAGGGAATATACAACATTTGCAAACATCGCAAAATAGAACGACCAAGTTTTTACGAAATACCTTACAGGATGTTGGTAAATGACAGTCTAAAGCATCCTGTAAAATTATGGCACCTGGTGTCGAGTCATTTTCAAGAAAATTGTATTTTTGTATACATTTCCAACGGTGGTCAGCCGACCACCGTCAGGCATGCAACTGGGAAATCACAAAAAAGAGGAAATTCAAATTTTCCCCAGACTTTGTACAGTGTTTTTCTATTTTCAATGGCACACATGGGAAGTAAAAAAAGAGGAAATCAGCTGATCCGAGGAAAAGTTGCATGCCTGCACCGTTGGAAAACCTAACTATTTTTCAACTTCTGCTCCAAATTAACAATTTTTTTTCAGTCCAAATTTTGTTTGCTATTGGTTACATGTTCATGAACGGGTGCAGGCTAGCTAGACTGGTTCCCTTACGTTACAATTTTCAGACATCTATAAATTGATCCATTTTATCTTTAGTGGAGTTAGGGAACCAGACTACTTAAACAGTTTTGTTTTTCTTGGTTTTTCAAGCATTTTCGAACACATAACTTCAAACATGTCAGTTAAACAATATTTGATCTATTATACTAACCCCTCAAATAGTTCATTTCTGAAAATTACAGCAAAAGCCAATGATGTACATTCCTTATAAGGCAGATTAGTTGGCAAAAAAGATTGTTTGTTTTCTTTTCATCAAACGACTTTCTTTTTCTTTTTTGAGTGAGTGAAGAGTCTCTTTTTTATGAGGAGACAACAAAAATTTAGTTAAAGTGTTTATTTTCTACCCCTAGAACTATGCGACTCCGCGAAGTTTGTATGTGGTGGAATTATTGTTGAGAATTTTGTCATCAACTACACGTTCTTAATAATTTGACTGTCAGTAAAGAAATGTGTAGAATGTTGCTGGGCGATGGTAAACTATGCGTCAGCGCAGCAGGTGTACGTACGGCACGTAAAATTCGAGTGGTACCCGGCCACGTGCTTTTAATCCGTGGACTTTTTCACTGAGTGACGGACACCGACGAAGGTGTTTAGCATAACAAATGGATGGTGCCGTTTGTGAAGAAGATGTTTTAATTCCGTCCCAGAAATATGAACTGATGAAGGCAAAATGGCAGATTGTGTTTGGAAGAAACGGCCCAAGATGGTCTGGTGGTGTTTAGTGACGGTTCTCGTTGGGATTTCTGTGCCGTTTGCTGGCGGCTTGTACATAGAGGGAGAAGTAGAAACGTTCGATGTGAGTTGAATTCCCAAGTTATATTACCACACTCAAACACTGTTTATGATGATCGCCTGCGCAATAGGCTAGCACAATGTAGCACAATGTACAAACTACAATGATGTAGCACAATGTAGCACAATGTATCCGGCATGTGTATGACCACGGTAAAACAGTGAATTTCACTATACAGGCATGTCATGTTTATCTGAGGTTTATCAGACGATCAAACATGATAAAGATTATAATTTATAATCTGTTTATAATATAAACAGAAATTTATGTAGAACTTAAATACATGCCACTTCACTTCAGTGGTTGTGTACAATTTACAAAGTCTATGGACATAATGGAGAGTCAGTCAAGAACATTTTCAAAGTATTTTCTAACAAAATTAAAAAACGTTTCTTAGTCCTAAATTCATGTCTTTTCAATTTTGTTTGCAATGACTGATCTTCAGTGAGATGATATGTGATAAAAAAAAGTGGCGTCGGGATGCAACATTCTTTCCTTACAAAAAAACGTTCTCAACTTTCAATCCAGTTACCGACCAGCATACAAAATGGCTATATTAAACCATGGAGCTAGACCATGATGAAACCAACCAATGCTATAACATAATGACACATTTTCCAATGGCTTTAAAAACAGCATTGCAACGTAACATGAATGTCAGACAAGTCGACCGTTGAGACAACTCGACTCGGGACAAGTCGACCGTTGAGACAACTCGACCGTTGAGACAGGTCGACCGTTGAGACAACTCGACTCGGGACAACGCGACTGTTGAGACTGCTCGACTTAATGGAAATGAATACACATGGAGCAGAAAAAGTTGCACAAATCTGTGGCAAGACCGATCACGGGCATGACGGGTGCGGCGCGGGCATACTCGATGTACAGAGGGCGTCGCGTCAGGCCGGTGCGCCCCGCCTGCCCGCGAGGACCGGGCCGGGCCCGGCACGCGGGCACGTCGACCGGCGCGGCAAATGGGCGCACAGGCCCGGCACAAACGATGTCACCGTGCACGGTACGGCACCGTTGACCGACCAGGGATGAGATAAGTGGGCGCACAGGGTTGGCAAAAACGATGTCACCGTGCACGGTAAGGACAAGTTGACCGGCAACTTGTGGGCGCACAGGCCCGGCAAAAACGATGCCATCGTTCACGGTACAGCCACGTTGACCGGGGATGCGCGCACGTGGCCTTGAAAAAAACGAACGATGTGCACGGACAATCACGCTGCGCTATATCGGCTCTGTTATATGCAACAAAAAAAACTCATGTGTCATCACTCCCAAATGGCCATCAGCCGCCGTCAAAATGCCCGGTACTATCCCTAGGTACTAAACTAGGCCCAAAACATGCTAGGCGACTTGTCTCAACGGTCGACTTGTCTTTCCATTTATCGCACATACGGTCGAGATGTCTCAACGGTCGAGTTGTCTCAACGGTCGACTTGTCCCAAGTCGAGTTGTCTCAACGGTCGACTTGTCTGACCCCCCGTAACATAGCCAAATGTTTAATTTGCATTTTCCCTGTTTTTCATCATTCAAAAGATGACATGACAAATATTTTTATTGCGCATTCGAAAAACAAGACCCCGATAGCGTGTCTACGCTCGAAACGTACTTCGCATGTCCAAAGTAAATATTTGATTGTTGGATGGTAGGAAGTATATACTCCAGTCAGGCTTCTTCGGTAGTGAACGGGGCTAGCGGTCAGCATTAGGCATAGCGTTCAAGGGGATTAACGACGGCCGTTAAAATGCCAAGGCGCTGCGTGATATCCCATAACTCACCACAGTGGCCCGGAATATGCTAATTGGGATTAAAACCAGGGGGATTTTCGTGCTAACTCCTTCTATTCCTACCTCCTTGATAAGGCCGAGTAAAAAAAAAAAGGGACAGATTTCCATATACATGTACGAAGTTCACTCAACACCCTGTGTACAAAACCTATGAGATTGGACTGAAAAATTCTAAGTGTTTTCTAAGAAAATGCTTGTATTTTCTCACTGCTCAAATTGACTTTGATGACATGAAATTGCTATCTGGGGGCTTGTTAGTCAATACAGAGGAAAATTAGTGAACTTCGTATACATGTATGTATGGAAATCTTTCCACAAAAAGTAGTTTCTTGTCCAGCCTTTTTTTTTTTTTAAATGAAGGAGGCTGGCCCTTTTTTATAAGCCACTTCGGAGTTACTACTACTGCGCATGCGCACATCAAGATTCGGTCATACTAAAAAGCGTCAACACAGCGTCAACACACTCCAAAGCGTCAACACGGCGTCAACACAGCGTCAACACATCCAAAATGCATTAAAAGTGACAAAAGCAGTATGTAGCCCATATAGTATGGAGAGAAACAAGATTTTGGCTTAAAATCAATAGGTTAAACGTCTGAAAATTGCGATTTTCAGTTCAAGAAAATTGGCTCTCCGTGCCGCTCCGAAATCGGCTGCCATGTTGCCTCAGTGGCAGCGCGGACCATACCATTATGCTAAAGGGTGATAGCGCTGTACAATAAACCTCGGTCCCTCACAGATCAGAGTGCACTGGTGTCCCTCTCTGCAGCAAGGCGCCCTCTGTTGTTTATGACAAGATTACTTGCACACCCCTACTTGAAATGGTGTAGTCCAAGCTTTGTGCGAAGTCAAAATGGTGGACAACGGCCGTGCAAGTGAAGGGTAATTTTTTCGCATGAAAATACTATATTTCTAACAACAAAATGGAAACTCAATTCAATGAAAATTCTCTTTTATTCTATGCTTTACAATTATATACCTTTTCTGTTAATTCAGAATGTGTTTTGGATGTGTTGACGGTGTGTTGACGCTTCTGTCATGTGTTGACGTTGTGTTGACGCTGTGTTGACGCTTTTTAGTGCGACCCTCAAGATTCAACGATTTACTTTTGTGGATAAACAGTTTGCCATACGCGTGCAAAATCATGATCATAGTGGGGTACCAACGAAATCAAAGAAAAGATCTTGTTTTGAAGTTAATGCAAACTTTTGAGTTTTTTTAATGGCTCCATGGATTAAGTTGTTTTGTGTGCTTGTGTGAACAAAAGTTTCCATCTTCTTTTTGATTCGATGAACAATTGCAAAATGTGGATTTGGTTACCACATCCCCCATAGACTTGTGTGCATATTATCTGCTGTATTTATCCACAAAACTAAATCGTTGAATCTGATGTGCGCATGCGCAGTAGTAACTCCGAAGTGGCTTATTCTTTATAGTTTCCCAAGATGGCTTCTATTTCAATATGGCGGATAGAATTCTTCAATGTTCTCGACTAGTAAATACAAAATTGTGTCCATACATTGCCAAAGGAGCCATGTACTGTATTAAAACCTTTCTACGTGTAGCTAAAATTTTGTTGGAAACAAATTAGAAGACAATTGATATTAATGACAATAAAAAGAAAATACACGTGCAAAATATATATTACAATTAGAAAGGAGGAAGCCGGGAAAAAGGAAGCGGGCGGGGACAAAACACATGTTTATTTTTTTATACTGCCTAATTCTATTCTTTTTAATAGGGTTAGCTCCCACCCAACAATCGGTATCGATAATGTACAGACTGATAACCAGTCTACTCGCAAGGTGAATCTCCTTGTGCCAAAAATAAAAATCTTTACTTATCAGAGGGTTGCAGATGCCCCCCCCCCAATATTTTTATTTTTTTTTGGAATAAAGCATGCATGTTGAAAATGTATTGAGAGAAAAAAAAAATCGAATTTGTTGAAGAAAATGGTGCCATTATAAAAACTCATGGGAAATGTAACTTTCAAATTCGTACGCAGTGGTTTGGGGGCAAAACCTGATAGTGATACATACATCACCCCGATGCAAATTCCATCTTATAAATAGTTTAATTGTGGTACCTGCTGCTACCCCTCAAATTCGAACCAGCCAACCGATCCTGCAAGGTCGGTGGTTGAGTGGTTAGACGTCTGCACTAAAAAAGCAGGAGGTCGTGGGTTCGAGTCCCACCCAAGTGATTTTTTTCCCCAACTTTCACTCGGGAGGTAACACACTGAGTATACCTGGGTGTTTATACGTCAGTGAAGGGAAAACCTAATATTAATATTGGTTTGGTACATGTAGTTTAATTTAAAAAAATGTCTTTCATAGGCCTACATGTATGTCCCGTGGATTTCATCTTTCTTTTCCCATTCATGACATGTCTGGAGGATATTTTTTTAGAATTAGAATTCATGTTTGACATCTATTTGGTTGACAAGTGACACATGCCCTCCCCCGTATAACTTTTAACAATTCATTCATTTGCTATATTTTTTCTCTCCAACAGAATTGGATTTTTCTGGCGCGTTTTTGTTTTCTGTCCGATATTGGGAGACTCCGATTCGAAGTGGAATATCCCAAGGTAAGTACATGTACAATGTCGACGGATCACAGAAAACTTGACAACTGTAAAATGCTGACCATTGTTCTTTTTCATTCCTTCAAATACATAGCTCAGGATTTGTAACAGCTGTTGCGTACGAGTATGAGCAAGTTCAGGCAAGGACCATTTGTCGACCAGCGGTTCACGTAACTTACGATGGCACGTTATAGAGTACCAAAACTACCAACTTGCAAACGTCGCCTGTCAAACACTGGTCAAAACCTCATGATCCTGGCTCCCTGCTGTGTATTATGATGCGTGCGGCTGTTGGTAACCAGTGATGGAACGGTTCCAACTACCGGTAGTCATAGTAGACTTGAAGTTCAACCATCCTAGCTGCGTTCCATTGATGTTAGTCAGACATTCCTACTGAACTTGCTCTATACTGTATGGACATTTCTTTTAAGTTTTTCTAAATTGCTATTTTCTACCCCTACAAAATTTGTTCACTTTTGAATAAGACAGATGAAAAGTTCAGTGTATTATATATGGAGTATTGCTAAATTTCAAATCATTTACAGGCTGACAATAATTCAGGCACGTATCTTTGTCATTTATGTGGATTAATTAAGAGGTGCAAAAGCAACCCACAATAAAATCCTTTTTATCAAGGATCGTTACAAAAAATTGCATTACATTGTACATAAATAAACATGGGCCCCTTTTAATTACCTGTGCAGTAGATGCACATGTAGTTCGTGTTTATTTTGACTGTGCATATATTTGCTTACATTGCACAATACTGCACACACTGCCGCATAATGTAATTATTGAGTGATTTATCGTCCGGGCTCTACCGCCCTACCAGACTGCTGTTATTCAATTGCCCCTGGCACCGTGCGTCTGAACCGTATTGTGTGGCAATTAACTGGCAAACAATAATTGACATTTAAATTCATTGTCAAATGGAGCATTTGACATTTAAAAGGAGAAAAACAAGACGGAAAATATCAGTCTGTTTGTAAAATGCACACTTCATACAAATGTATGATGCGTTTGTAAGCAATATATAAGAGATTTAAAGTTAAAATTCAGCCCACAAACGTATATTATTGAACATGTACCGCCCTGAATCCTCCAAAATCCTTTTTGCAAATTGAAGGAATTTGCAGGATTAAGGTTACACCGAAGGATTGTTTTTAACAAAGGGAAGTAAAGTCTGAGTTTTCCTATGAGATCAACTGATTGCGCTAACGCATTTCCATTTAATCGGACAACATGGACAATGGCGCAAATCCAGAGATTGCATCCAATAGAAAACATTAGGTTCTCGTAATGTTTGTACATGTAATTTCAAATCGCTTCAATTGGGAAGCACAAGTACATTGTGTAAATTAGTTGGTACTCATTACGTAGTAATCTATTTCTTTTTTTTCTTCTGTGATTACAGTCATTTGCCACACAAAACCTGATCCTGTATTATGATGAACCGGACCAGTGGCCTGCTGTGTATCCCACAGAATCTGTGGAACTCAAGGTGAGTGCCTTAAAGGTATAGTCCATCATTTGCAGCCATCCGAAAAGTAACTGGCGTAATTATTGTTGAAAAACAAACTTGGTTGAAAGATAGTAAGGGGACTAAACTCCCTGTGAAATTATTCTTTCTGGGAAGCTGTCATTTTGAAGTAATCAACGAAAGAAGGCATTTCCAACGGTGATTCTTAAGAAGCACCGTAGGAAAATTTAAATTAGTAGTTCGTTTTGTTATTCAGCGCAGCGCGCACAAGTATTGGAACGACGCACATGCGCGCGCGGTTGTTATAATTCGTCGGATCAGTGCGCGGCGTCGCGTATAGCTGCAATTCAAAACAATTCAAAACATGATTCAGTAACTTTGGATTTGAAATTGAGATCTTAGAATGCTGTTTTTCTCGGAATGTACAGCTGAAGCTTAGCTGAAACTTCATCAGGTTAGTTGCTCAGTATCCTTCATTAGATTTTGAACTCTTTTGTTGCTTCAAACGAACAAAATGCACAAATTACAAATGATGGACTGTAGCTTTAAGCCGAAATTACACATACCCCACTTTGTCGGGCGATAATGTTGCGCGTTTTTATAAAAGTTTGCCCCCCCTCCCAAAAAAAGGAGTTTTGGTTGGAATAAAGCACGCATGTTAAAAATTTATTGAAAGGAAAAAAAAAAGAATTGCTGCAGAACATGTGGAATGCAACTTTAATGTTCGTACGAAGTTGTTTTGGGGCAAAACCTAATACTGATTTACATCACCCCGACGCCAACCTCGGTGGTCAAGTGGTAAGATGTCTGCACTAGAAAGCAGGAGGTCGTGGGTTCGAGTCCCGCCCGAGTGCATTTTTTTCTTCCAACTTTCACTCGGGAGGTAACACACTGAGTTTACAGAAGAAAAAAGTCAATTCAAAGTGATTTTATCCTATGCAACAAAATGTGTCATACATGTACGTACTGGTATTTCACCTGGAACCTATTAGCCTGAATTGATGTACATGTACGTTGTAAATGATGGACGAAACAATTGCGTGACACAACACATTGCGCGACATAGTCATTTCGACAAAATCGCTTATAAAAGAAATAGGCCTTCATATCTCAGGTTGGGGTTCTTTTTACTTGCCTTCCACCTCTCATATTAAACAAATGCTCTGAAATGTTGAAAGAATGATTGATCAAACCTTCCATTGGTTTTTACTTGTGACTGACTTGCGATTGGGTTTCCCTGTTCGGTGACATGTTGTTCTTCTTTTTATTGCCAATTCTCGTGATGAAAGGCAAAACCCAATATGAAAAATGTATTTCAACGGGATTTAGTATTCTCTCATACCGGAATTCTTGTACAAAGTTTGCTTAGTATTTTGTCATTGTTTGTGGATTATTTACATATTTGCACACACGTCATGCAAGTCTGCATTCTAACACACATGTACGTACATTCATGGACACATGTGACATTTCGCTGTTTATGCATGAACATAATATGTATTAACATTTGTCACTTGTAGAGTACACTTACATTTATTGTACATAAACGCTCAACGCTCATCTGTACTGTACAGATGCTTCAATTTTATATCATCATCGCCATGGTAACTGCAGATCAGTATTGTGCTTTACCGGTATAAATTTTGACACTCCTATTAGATTGATGATACTTGTGCACATTATTACCAAAGCCATTTGGTAAATAGGTGTCTATTGTCACCGTGATGTGTTAAGTTATTGCTCGTGCATGTAAATAAATGACCTACTTGAATTTATGAGGCTTCGCTTCGACCACTTCACGGGGGAGGCGGCTTTATCACCTGTTGCACGCTTTGTAGACGATTCGCCTGCAAACAACTTACAAACAACTACACAACCAATTGTGTAAAAACCTTTTAGTCATGGTCCTCTTATTGTTAAACGTTTTGGAAACAGTTCGGCTGTTAAATGCAACTGAAAAATTTTCGGTAAAAAAATAAATACTTTTGTTCCGCGTACGCCCAGCACCACGAAGTTTTCAGCAGATTTTTGGTAAAGCAAAAAAATTGGATGAATAATTTCTTTTGTAAATCATTGTTAAATAAAGAAACATTAAAATCATTGTTACACAACGAAAGATTGCCGTTTGATTTGAATACATTTTGACCAGAACTATATGTGCCTCTATACTCTTTATAATTACATTGAAACTTGTACAAGACTGGGTTTTTTAATGCATGTACATGTACATGTATGTGTATGATAATAATGTGTGTGGATGTCGATGAATATTACATGTCTACTCATCATTCCAGCCCGTGAAACGCTTAATTGCCTCATCCTGATGGCTTGAGTCTATTGTTGGGTTGACGTGACAACTACAGATGATTAGTTACAGGTGGATTCTTGCGTACAAGGAATGTTCTTAGAATGGGTCGCAATACAGCCATGAAACTCAATCAGGAAAAGCGATTTGGGAGGTTGGGGGGTGAGGGGGAATTTTTTATTTTGATTGTGATACGTTTCATCACAATTATAATCCAAATAATGAAAGGTTTGCGGAAACACCATGTGCGAATAATTTCTCAACTAAGAGAATGGTTCTGAAAAGAACCAGAGGTATAAACTCGACGTTCCAGTCAGTATGCTCTGACCGTCTTCACTCTCCTGAAGACGGTCAGAGCATACTGACCGGAACGTCGAGTTTATACCTCTGGTTCTTTTCAGAACCGTTCTCTTAGTTGAGAAATTATTCGCACATGGTGTTTCCGCAAACCTTTCATTTATATTTAGTATCTCCACCATGCAAAGCCTCAAATCTTACTTAATTATAATTCAGTTTAGGATTATAACTACAATTTATGCACACTGTTGAATTGTCCAAATTGCACCGTTGAATTGTCCAAAATGTATGTCCGACACTCTGCAACTGCCCAAGGACGAACTGAATATTCTTTTTTTCCGTTGGTACTTTGCCCAGACTTGCCTGCAGAAGGAGTCGGTCCTGCAGCCCGAGAACCACCAGGTCATCAACCTGACCACGGCCTACGTCTGGTCTGGCTGCATCGTGACCAAGTTGGACAATGAAGAGCGCATCCGATTCTACGGGGACACGGAGAAGTACGACTGCCGGGCCGGGCGTAGCTTCACCTCCCGGCGGGAGCGCTGGTGGTACGTGGCCCTGGACAACTGCAACTCGACACGGGTAAGTTGTCCATCCAGCCGAAGAACCCTGAACGTTTTGGAAATGTATGGACTTGTTTTTAACCCTAAAAGGGCCGGGTTATTTTGACCATTACTCGGGGGGGGGGGGGGGGGGGGGGGGGGGGATCTCGGCCATCGAGTGACTAACAATTTTGAAACTCAGTACATGCATAGAGCAACTCATCATGAACATACCCAAGAAATTTCAAGACAATAGGTTAAAGGTTTTGGAATTATGGCTAATTAATTATTCATATGTACAAATGGTAATTCTGCTCTGTGTACAAGACGTATATATATGGGAAAATTCAGTTTTCACAGCGCGAAGCACCGGAATTTTTTAATGTTTTTGGTATCAAAAGATGCGCAAGGCTCGAGGCTAAAAAGTCGTAACAGCTCGGGTCACGAAACAAATTATTTTTCAAGGTGATCGCGGAAAAAATCGGCCCTTTAAAAAGTAATAGTGGATATTTATAAAGCACACGTATCCAACAGGACTGGTGCTCAAGGCGCTACATCATTGTTACCCCTGCTCATTCGGCACATAAAACATTCCAAATACCATCTCAGCTCCCTGGGGAGTATACAGCTCCATGCAGCCTGTTAGGCGCAACCTTAAGCTAATTCAATCACAATAACCATCTCTGCCCTCACAGGTACCCATTTACTCCTGGGTGGAGAGAAGCAATGCGTGACAAAGTGCCTTGCCCAAGGGCACGCGAACCATATTGGCAAATTCAGCTACACCAACACAGGGATCAAAATCAACAGTTGACTGTTTTTAACTCAATAAGAATTCCCTCAATTAATTCCACTGTATAGGAATATCCACTTATTCCATAGAAGTGTGGAAAGCCGAAGATCATGTTTACAAAACAGTTTCTTCAATTACGCTAAAACTTTGCATGGGTGGCTAGTGCATAAAAAGCTCGCCTCTCACCTCTGTGGCCCTGGTTCGATTCCCGGCTTGGACCATATGTGAGTAGGTTGTTCGTTGATTCTCTCCTGTGCCACGAGGGTTTTTCTCCGGCCCTCCAGTTTCCTCCCTCCACAAAAAGCAACACTTTCGATCTCAGGCTGTGCTCCGTGGTCAGACATGGGTCGTATGGCGGTAGCCTAAGGCACCTTGACATGCCTTGGACCCGACCACATTGTAGCCGCGTCCTTCGCAATTCAACTTCTCAGCTGCAAGTAAGGATGATAAGCCCCCAAAACATGCAAAATTATTCTATATTCTATTCGTTAGGCATGTATCCCCCCCCCTTCTGAATTTACATTAGTGAAAGGTAAAACCGACTACTGAAATGTACCGTTATGCCTGATTTTCCTCTTCTGTTACCTACAGGGCATGTTTCTCAAGTACAAGATGACCTTCACAAACGGTGACGATTACTGGACCAGACATTTTTCGGCAGATCAATTTGGTACGCACATTTCTTTCTGTATTCAGCTATTTAGGCCCCCTTTACACAGGGCTGTGACCTTTGTTCCACCTGTGAGTGACCAAAAAAATGGCCAGGACGCTCAATAGTCGCCTAAACCCAGAAAATCCTGTTTCTATGTAACTGCTCCAGTGCCTCCCTTGAACCACCAAAACAGCAATTTTCGGGCATTTTCATGTTGAGCTACGAGCGACCAGTGCGTCCACTAAGCCACTTGCCTGCCTCCCCTGTGCTTCCCCTCTGCAACCTATGGCAACCAACGCGATTATAGGCAACATAGGCGACCCCCGAGTTTTGGGCAACCTTTGAGCCTCCTCTGTGCCTCCTCTGTGCCATCATCGGCGACCAACGGCAACTAACGGCGATCACTAGTCGACCATTCAGCCATGCTTTTGCCTCCTAGGCGACCCTTGAGGCACAAGGGAGGCAGAAGCATCGCCCAGATTGACGGTAAAATTTGCAACAGAACGGATCTATTACGTGCGACCATTGGCCGACCATTGTGCATCCATTCTGCAACCACTGCAATGCTTGTGCCTCCCTCCTGGCCAGTTTCATGGTCGCAAGGGAGGCCCAAAAGTCGCAGCCCTGTGTGAAAGGGGTTGCACAGACAAATCTGGGCACGTGATCACTGTACACGCACGGGCGAAGGCATTGTTCACGCTATTGCTATTGTACAAAGCAACTGCCCCATGATGGATAATCTTAAGAAAAGATAGCACAACGCTTTCGTCATTGAAGGGGCCTTCATGATAGAATTTATAGCATGCCCAAATATATATACGAACGGAAAAAGTTAGACCTAGTTTGCGCAAGAACTGTTGTTGACCAATGGTTAACCATCGTTCGACTAAAGTTAGCCCGAACTCTGTCTAGTGGACGATGGTTGACTACGCTAGTCAACTATTTGGAACCAGCCTACCGCGACTGGTTGCGCAACGATTTATAGCTGGTTATCAATAGCAATTTCCATAGCATAGTGCAGAGGGGACCAACTATCAACAAAAATGGGAGAAAACAAAACAATTGCTAAATTTCATTTTCCTTGCACAATTTTTCCATGTTGGTTTACGATTATGTCACTGTTGTCATCATTGTACATGTACAATAACATTGGCAATTATGTAAGATGTCCTAAACTATACACAATCGCTACTATTTGTGTAAATAAAGAGAAACAACAAGCATGACAAGTGTTGAGTAATTGTGCAACCGCCATTTGCTGACGGTCGTTGATATGACAACAGTTCGACTAGAGTCATTCGCACTTCACCTTCAGTGCGCATGCGTTAGGTACGTCACGAACCAACCACTAGTTAACCACTGGTCCTTGCTTGAACTTGCCCATTGCTGCCACGTTAGATCTAAACAGATCGAGTCTGTCAACAATATCTGCGTTGTGTGTAATTCATGGATTTTTTTTTTTGACGTAGACATTGGAAATATGACCAGTAAAGTGATCAATGTGCCCAATTTAAAATAAAATCCATGATATTGAAAAAACTGTGATTTTTTGCCGTTTTGCAATGCCAGGTGCAAAAATAATTCAAATTAGGTTTTTGCCATTCACCGACGTTTAAACACTGTATACTCAGTGTGTTACCTCCCGAGTGAAAGTTGGAAAAAAATCACTCGGGTGGGACTCGAACCCACGACCTCCTGCTTTCTAGTGCAGATGTCTTACCACTCGACCACCGAGCTACGGGGTAACGGGATCGGTTGGCTGGATCGAATCTGAACTATATTTCTTTTCTCCCAACATCCTTCTCAACATTTTGTTTTGCAGGAATTCTCCAAACGGACATCGTGTTCCTGATTCTTTTTGGGTTAATGTTCTTGGTGTCCCTGTACACAGCAAGTAAGTGTATATTAACAGGGTTCGAAATCAACGGTAGCCCGCTAGCCAAATGCTAGTCAAAACAGCGGCGGGCTAGTCAAACTATTCCTTAAGTAGCCCAGCTGGCGAGTCAAAAAAATATTGGGATACAGCAAAGATGAAAGGACAGGAAGAACTAAATCATGAAATTCAGAAAGCAAACCTCTTCAGCTTGTGCCCAATTTCATCCAACTGTTTTAAAAGGTTAAATTATTAGATATGGTTATTAAAAACACTGACAAAATTGCCTCAGAATTGAGCCTGAAAATATGCCATTCAGTTGTATTTTGAGCTAAAAACAAAACGGGCTAGTGAAAATGCCCGCGGCTAGTTAAGAGTCTGTTTCAGTAGCCAAGCTGGCTAGTGAACAAAAAAGTTCAGGTCGAACCCTGTATTAAACACTCTTGACAAACGTCAACGTTTTGGCATCAAAGCCACTATTCATTTTTGCTTGTACATTGTATGCAAAGTCTTGTGTGGTTTGGAATGTCCTTGTTTCTTTTTCAATTTCCAAGTTGCATGCCTGATTTTAACATCACTCCCTTCACAAGTCAGCTGACAACAAAGAAGACAACATGACTCCATAGATTCCTGACAATTATTAACCCTAAAGTACCTGAATCCATCAAAATCCACACCCCTGTTTTGGAGGATTTCGGCGGATCCAGGATACCTCCGTATTGAAAAAGTTGGGGGATTTTGATGGATTCAGGACAGTAAGCCTAGCGGTACTGCAGGATTTTGATGGATTCAGAATACCTCCGTATTGAGCAGTTGGGGGACTTTGATGGACTCAGGATCTCAACAGATTTACTCCCCGGCTAACTGGTGGATTTTGATGGACTCACTGGCCACCAACATTTTTTTTGCATGGCAAAATTGATGGATTTTGGCAGATTCAGGATACTTTCTAGTAAAAATACCCAAGGGATTAGCGTTTAAACCTTTTCTAAACCTTTTCTGTACTTTTGTTCTTGTTTGATCACAGATGGATTGCACTGTCGTCAGTTGCTGCACACCACGTACAAGATGTTCATGACTTGCATTGTCTTTTACAGTAAGGAATTCTTGGATATTGACAAATATGAGCGTCCTGTGTTTTGTTTTGCATGTACACCCCAAAAATACCTTTTAAAAGCGTAATTCGGATGTTTACTTTCTGAAAGTATCATAAGCTAACCGCCCCCAATGCTACAAAATTATTTATTATTATTATTATTATTATTAATCATTTCTGGTAATGAAACCAAGGATTCCTCAAAAGCGCCCTAGGCACTGTAGCTCGCAAGCCTGAAGAAACCTGTGGAGAGAAGACAATGAGAAGAAGTTACAGTTTTAGAGGCGGGAGGAAAAGCCCAGAAGAATATTCAGGGGAAAACCCACGGAATCAGGTAGGGACTGAAAACCCAATCCACATATTGACCCAGGCGGGATTCGAACCCGGGTCACAGCGGTGGAAGGCAAGGAGAGTATCGCTTCGCCAACCTGACTCCCCTACTACTACTAAATACTACTGAGTAGTAACCTATGGTATGCATTTCTTTCCATACAAGTGTGCACAACACACGTAGTATTCTGTGGTATTTGATACTTGATCCCCAACCAGTTAGGGTTAAAATAAGGCTAGCAAACTTTAAGTGTACGAACCGTACTGCACCACTCCCCAGGTGGTGTTGCAAATTTATTTCCAAAACGTGACAAATGCCATTTTGTCATCTTGTAGAATCCAACCCTCCTGTGGCGGCCCAAAACATATTTGACAAAGTTTAATGTTGTTAAATACAACTTCATAACTTAAAAAAGCAAAAAGTGTAGTACTATAAAGAGCTGTTCAGAATCACAATCATGGACATTTTTCACATTTTTCAATGGATATATTGCGTTTTGGAAATAAAGTCTTCAAATAATGGTTTTTTTTACATTTGTATAACGTTATTTTTTTTATTAAATGCATCCCTTCCTGTTTCCTGGGATAGCGCATCACTTACATGTACATATCACGTACATGTACAAATGTATGTGTGTCTACGTCTATGCACGTCCATTTTCGTCCATTTCGCACAAATGTGACTCAAACTTGAATCACATGACTTGTGACTCGGACTCGACCAAAATGACTGGAGACTCAGACTCAACTCTAGTGACCGGACTTTTTTTTTTTTTTTTTTTTTTTTTTTAGGGCACATGTGAATCAAAGGGAGATATCCTCTGTTTGGGTTGAATCTCCTCTTTAAAATGACACCCTGATCATGTCATTACATTCACGGTTGACTGAGCAGTGACCAACTTCATGAAAGGGTCCAACTTAAAGAATTGCGCCACTCTTCATGGTGGAATCTCTTCTTTTTTTTGTGACCGGACTTACAACTCTGGCTGGAGTTCATGGAAGTAAAGGTCGTCAGATATAGAATCGGCAAAAAAAATGCCACAAATGGTTCTGAATAATAATGGACACGTGAGGTAGGGTAGGTAGAGTTCGGACATTTTATGTCTATTTTTCTACTCTTTGTTTTCAGTGATCGCAATGATTCTATTCATCATCTACTACGCGGACTACGCCAGTGACGGAACGCCCCTGAACAACGTCAAGATGGCGGCGCTGGCGTTCATGGCCATTGGAGACGGCGTGTTCCTGCTCATGCTGATCCTCATGGGAAAGGGCTATACCATTACCAGGTAGGGGGTTGAAATACTTTAGACTTAGGATGAGGGGCTGCCATCCCAAGTGTCTGCCATACCTATTTCCCCCTAGTGCTTATGTAGTCTCATGAAATGTAAACCTTTGACCCCCGTTTGTATGTTCGTCAGTCCGTCGGACGTACATAAGTGCCGTTTTAAAGCTTCAATCTTTTGCCTGTCATTATCCGTCAACAGAGGGCGCATCAGTCATTCTGGCAGCGTCAAGATTGCTGTCTTGATGTGCATCTACACCATGCTGTATGCTGCCCTCTTTGTGTACCAGATTGCGGTAAGTATTAAAAAAAAACTTATATCACAAAATTACACTTTTGCTCTGCTATCGCTGACAACTTTGCAATTCTTTAAGTTCTGATTTTAAATGTTGTAAGTTGATATTGACCCCAAATGCCACTATTACACAAAAAACGGTGTGTGAAAAAAAGTGAAAAAAATTCTAATAATTTTGTGTGTGTGTGGGGTAAAGGGGCATAATAAAGGGGCTAGTATGAACTACATGTTGAAATTAAAAATCGCCAACTACACGAAAACTCAGAATTTGTGAAGCCATTTACCCTAAGGTCTGCTGTTGAGATATCAGTGCATCAGATTGTCATGGGCCTTTTCACTCCATAGCCTTTTATAATCTGTTGGATCTCTAGTTTGGATGAACGGATTTCCGTGGCATTTTTACTGAATATACACTAGAGTATATAACTAATATGCTCCAGCAAGATGAAATACTCATGCTTAGTAGTTTTTGAGAAATTAAAAGGTTTGTGCTGGCACAAAGTTTTTTTGGGACGCCCTGTGTAGGAGCGTCTGGTCAGGGAACCAGACTACTGCTGAGACCTAGGTTGATACTAGACCCCGGGTTCAAGGTTCTATTTTTTTCTGATGTGAGGCCATGTCCGAATCACTAAGCTACAGCCATGAATAAGCACGCGCACCTATGGAAGCCACTGGCTAGCGGCTACAGCCACTTCCCATAGACTCGCATGTCATCTCCAGCCGTAGCCACCTGATGCGGATACGGCTTGACCTTTGTGTATATCGCCCTCAGGTGTTTGACCCCGGCGAGGTGTTATACCTCTACGAGAGTCCCGCTGGGTTTGCGTTGATCGGTATCCGTGGCATCTGCTGGCTGTGGTTCATGTACGCCATCTTCTTCACCCTCAAGCACTACCCGGAGAAGAACCTCTTCTACGTTCCCTTCTTCTTGTTCTACACAGCCTGGTAAGATAATACTACCAATACGGTAATCCTTACTTTTAGGACACCTCTATTTTGTACGAGTTCTGTTCAAAACTGACTTTTGCAGATGACTGTCCAGTACCAAAGTGACTTTTGCAGGCTAAAGCAGTCTTTTTTTCTTCAAACTCATGTTAGTTGTAATTTTGAAAGCACTTTCAAAGAAAATGTGACTAAATTCTACCTTTTTTTGCAGTTCGCCATCTTGCTTTTTTAATATATTTTCTGTTTGTCATTGTCATCTTTTACTCCTCATAAATCAAAGCCTGCCCTCTTTCTACAAAATTAAACATGCTGATTCAAGAGGTGTCATTGCCAAATGTTCAAATGTGCCAAGAAATATCAGAATGTCACTTTTGATTGTCATTTAGTCAGCTGTTTTGGTGAGTCTTTAACCTTATATAGGAAAGGGGTCCTAAAGGTAAGGATTACCAATAATACTTGCTAGTGCGTCGATTGTCAGATTGACCTACTGGTATGACGTAACCCATAGAGCTATATTAAATTACTAGAGTGCTAACTCTTCATTCTTGCGCGGGGGGACACTTTGAAGCCGCTCTGGGCGCAGACATTTTGAATTGATGTGCGTGTTTGTTAAACACAATCAAAATAGATGGATTGAATTATAAAAGTGTACTCTAAATGCAACGCGCAAGTACTTACGCAAACAACTTAAGCGCGTCACAACGGTTAAAAAAACGTCACGGCGAAAAGCATCTGCAGCGGAGGGACGCGCACACGTTGCGCTGTTTGCGTAGAGCAAAATGATACGCTCATTTGTTGATCGTGCGTTTTGGTTTTGGGCGTGTCGGCTTCGATGACGCACCGGTGTGGAATACAAACGCAGATATGCAAATAGCCGTACAAAAGCCGTACACAATTTCGAGTTTTCTATAAGTTTGTGCACAAACATGGATGCGCCCATGAGGCATTACTTTGTACATCGAGTTAGCACTCTAGTAATTTAATATAGCTCTATGGGTCAACCTAATTTCAATATCTACACTGTACCAATTGGGTGCTGCGTTAAACTTGACGTATAAGTGTGCAGGAAAGGAAAAGCAGGCTATAAGCAAACTACAGGGGAGGGGGTACAGACAGGACACAACAACCAATCACATGATAGAAGCACAAGGCCATTTCTCAAATGCACATGTGTTATGAGGTCAGCACCCGATTTCATGAAACCCATTGTAACTTACGAAGCATCGCAGCTGGGACGCGTCCTGCGATTTATTTCACAAAGCATGTAGTAAGTACGACGTGTCTTAGGTGTTTTTATAGCAAAATACATTGACTTATATGTATTTATTCAACGCACAGTGAATGGTCGTCTGATTTTCAGCAAAGAGTCATCGGATCTCTTGAAATTTTTGTAAAGTGTAAAACAAAATGCGGATGTATGATGCAGTTTTAAAAGGAAACCAAGCTTACTGTGGATTGTTAGCTACATGTTCTTTGAAGTTTCAACTGCAATATTGCAAGCTAATTCATATTTAGGTTGATGCATATTCCATTTACAACTTAACACACATTGTCTCTGTATTCTAGTCTCGTTTATTTAATTTTTATGGCAAACAAACTTGCTAGGAAAAGACGCTTCTCATTTTGCGATGACCAAAAGACACGTTGTAACTTGAGACATGTTTTAAACCGTTAATAAACTTATGACGCGTTAATCACATTGTGAATCGCAAATTGAGACATGTTACATGTCACAACTCAAGTTGCAACGCGTCGCAGCGCTTCGTGACATCTGCACCCGATTTCACGAAGCGCTGCGACGCGTCGCAACTCGAGTTACGACGTGTAACACGTCGCAACTCGCGACGCGTTGTATCATCCATTTCACGAAAGTTGCGATGTGTTGAATGCGTCGTAAGTTCCTTGACAACAGCTTATAACACGTCGCAAGTTACGACGTGTCTGGTGGTCATCGCAAAATAAAAAGAGTCCCTTTCTTAGCCAGTTTATTGCCATAAACATTACATAAACAAGATTATAATACCGAGGCAATGTGTGTAAAGTTGTAAATAGAAAATTTATGGAATAATTATGAATTAGACTGGAAAATAGTAGTTGAAATTTCAAAGTAGCTATACAGTCCACTGAGAGCTTGTTTTCCTTCAAAATTGCATCGCACGACCGCCATGTTGTTTTACGTTTTAACAAATTTCGAGCTGAGATCCAACGACTCTTTGTTGAATATCAGACGACTATTTACTGTACGCTGACTCAAGACATAAAACAGTCACCGAGTTGTGCCATAAATACACATATGACGCGTCGCACTTACGACGTGTTTTGTGAAATGGATCGCAGGACGCGTCGCAGCTGTGACGCATCGTAGGGATACGATGCGTCGCAGCGCTGCGATGCATCGTAAGTTACGAAGAGTTTGGTGAAATCGGGTGCAGGTGTAGGTCTTCGGTCTACCTGGTAAGAGAGCTTATTAACTCTGTCCAAGTGGCACCTTTGCCTTTAAAGGGAATATACAATATTTGCAAACATCGAAATATAAAACTACCAAGTTTTTATGATATGCCTTACTAGGATGTTGGTAAATGACAGTCTGAAGCATCCTGTAAAATAATGGCACCTGGTGTGAAGTCATTTTCAACAAAATGGTATTTTTGTATAAATTTCCAACGGTGGTCGGCCGATCACCGTTGGAAAAACCTTACTTTTTTTCAACTACTGCTCCAAATTCACCATTTTTTCAGACCAAATCTTGTTTGCTATAAATTGGTTACATGTTCATGAACGGGTGCAAGCTAGACTGGTTCCCTTACCTTACAATTTTCTGGCATCTATAAATTTATCCATTTTACTTTTAGTGGAGTCAGGGAACCAGACTACTCCACCATTCGTGGTTTTCTTGGTTTTTCCTGCATTTTCGAAAACACAAAACTTCAAACATGTCAGTGTAACAATATTTGATCTATTATAGTTACCCCTCAAATAGTTCATTTCTGAAAATTACAGCAAAAGCCAATGATGTACATTCCCTTTAATAACAAAAACTACATTTTTCTATTCTGAATCCTTTGAATCCTTTACTGACAAGAGGGTATTTTTCAAATTAGGTTTTGCCCTTCATTGATTGATATCACCCGACGCAAAACTCCATCTTCTAATTGTTTTGACCAGGTTTGTCTCGACCCCCATCATGATCCTGATAGCGACCTACGTGTTCCCCAAGTGGTGGCGAGAGAAGGTCATGAATGTCATAGAACTGCTGATTGCATTCACCGCACAACTGGCGTTCCTGGTAAGCAAGTTTGACACTCTGCTAAGCAGATGTCCTTACTCTCGCTTACCCTAACTCCCTGGGCATTCTTTTTCATTGCATTCACCGTCCAGCTGGTGTTTAAAACAACTTTGACCCTCTGCTAAGCAGACATCTCACTATCACTAAGGCCCAAAAAAAAAAGTCGGTCTCTGGTCAGACCAAAGTTCCGGAATTGATGCGGCGACGCGTTTTTGTTTTGGTTTTTTTGGTCGGCTTTTTTTTTTTTCAAGCTTGGATTGTACAGACAAGGTGGGTACTATTTTGCTATCGTTGTGTCCTCATATACATTGGTGTCCTCCATCACTTGCCTTCTTGCCTTTGTGGAATTTCCCCATTCCTTGGTGCTCCTTGGTACAAAAAATTGAGGTGGTGCAGCAATAGAGATCGCTGTTGTAGCTACCGCAGAAAATTTGAAAAAAAAAAAAGATTGAGGCGCATGATTAAAATCGAGTTGCTCGCTGACCAGACACCAACTATTTTTTTTTTTTTGGCCTAACCTAATCTCCCTCGGCATTCTTTCTAGGATCTTTCCTCCACAATCCTCCACTAAGAAGGAAACCGTGGGAATTTGTTTGAAAGTGATATTCCAAAGTGAGGTCACAGTGTTGTATACTTTACATTCCTCAGCCCTTCCAAACCATTCAAACCTCCGGATGAAGTTTGAAGGATATGGCGCACTCGTAGATCAGGGAAAATATAATGTTTCTGTGCTCCATATGCATCTTTGTTTATGAGACACAAACGCACTATTCCGTGTTTCACTCACACTCTTGGGATTACAAAATTCTACGTTAGGCCAAAAAAAAAAATATTCGGTCTCTGGTCAGACCAAAGTTCCGGAATTGACGCGGCCATGGGGCTTTTTTCTTTTTTTTGTTCAAGCTTGGATTGTACAGACAATGTGGGGTACTATTTTGCTTTTTGGTGTCCTCATGTACATTGGTGTCCTCCATAATTTGCCTCGGTGCTTTCGATCATTTGCCTTGGTGCAATTTCCCATTCCTTGGTGCTCTTTGGTAAAAAAAAAATTGAGGAGGTGCGGAAGTAGAGGGCGCTGTTGGAACATTTTTGAAGAAAAAAAGATCGATTTGCATGATTAAAATCGACGCGCGCGCTGACCAGAGACCGACTTATTATTTTCTTTGGCCTTTATGCCCTTTTTTCTCTCATTGTGGCTTATTGATGAATAAAAATATAAATTGAAAATATTCAATTACAGATCATAACCAGACCCTCGGCCGCCAATAAGAACTTCCCTTATCACGTGCGGACGTCCCAAATCGGCGTGGTCAACGACCCTTACGGCGGTCCTGCAAACAACGTTGACGGGTTTGCCCACCATGGCTACGGCAACAATGTCATGGAGGGCGAGGGGCAATTGCCCAACTTCACTGAGATGTTTGCTGTCACAGCTGCCTCCAACCGACCGGTCGCAAACGGATACATGGTTAATAATAACGCGGTAAGTTGACTACATGCACAATGTACGTCCCGACCATTGAATGAAGTTGGCCGTTTGAAACAAATCTAGGAGCGACTCCACGTGATAGTTCAATGGACCGATCCAGTAAGCACCGCCCCATGGTGTTCTGACCAATCACAGCCGTGATTTATGTCCGACGTGCGTGCACAAAAGTCCGACATGCGTGCACGCGCGTATGATGCGCGCGGAAGGAACATGCAGCGCGGCATTGGAGAGGAGCACGTGTTAATTTGCCCACGTGCGCACTGGGCGGAGCTTACTGGATCGGTCCATTGATGCCATCACTTGCACTGCAGCGACTCCAGGCTGCAGTCACTGGAAAATTGATACTAAACCCTTGCCCTCTTGGGTATTCTGGGGAGAAACCCTGCTGAATGCAACAAACATGTCACAATGAGAAGCCCGGCCTGTGCAGCCAGATGCATCAGGTCCAAAGTCTCAAGGCCCGGGCCCTCGGAGTCTGTGGTCACCCACTGCAGCAGGATACAACTGTGGCATTGTTCAATGGGACTAGCTCTCATTGTCTCAGAATTGACTGTTTTGATGGCTCAATACAGCAAGGTCCCACAGACTTTAACACCTGATGTACTGTGTTGCGTCTGGCTAATGTTCGCTTGCCTAAAACCAATATCTATTTAGCTTGACTTGAGACATTCCCTATACTACAAGTGGTTCAGCGCAATTTCGAAAACTCCAGACTGAAATTGGTGTCCGTAGGGAATGATAATCCAAGAAATCCATAACTATTTTTTTTTGGGGGGGGGGGGGGTCACCTAGCCTGCAGCCTCGCCTGCTCCCAATTTCATGAAACTTGTCATTGTTGTGATGCAACGCAGGGCTGCAATGCGTCGGATCCCCTACGATGGGTCATATCCCCTACAATGCGTCGTATCCCCTACAATGTGTCGTATCCCTACGATGGGTCATATCCCCTACAATGCGTCGTATCCCCTACAATGTGTCGTATCCCTACGATGGGTCATATCCCCTACAATGCGTCGTATCCCCTACAATGTGTCGTATCCCCTATGATGAGTCGTATCCCCTTCAATGCGTCGTATCCCTTACGATGCATCCTAGGGGGAAGTGTGACACGTCATAGGTTTACTTATAACACAACACAATGACTGTTATCTCTGTTTTCAGTGTAAGAGGCTGTGGGATGATTTGAATGACCCCATACACCGTAACAGTTTCATATGAGAAACTGTCATTTAAAATGTGCATGTTGCTTGTAAACATTCTCTCTGTAGACGAACAATCCAGCAATTGCATCTATGTTTGTAGCCAGTTCTCCCTTGGTAAGACATATATACATTTGACCTATGATTTGGCATTTGACCCACGACCTCTTGAAACCTGTAACTGCCTAACATCACCAACCCTGTAATATGAAAGATGGCCTCGAATTTGGCTTTGGGATACTTTAATATAACAATAAAATGCGGTCAGGTCCTCATGATGCAAAGTGTGCACAACTTTCTTTTGTTTTAAATGTGCATAAATCTTGGTATCTTTCCTTGAGAGCCCGATTCCCTCGGCAATGCCTCAAGATTCAACCCTCCCCCTCCCCCTCCCCCTCCCCCACACCCACTAATGGCTCCTCCAAACTTTCTCTTTACCGACACGTAACGGTTGAGGGGTTACTTGTGCACGGAGCCCATATCGAGTAACAGATGGTCGACTAATCATCTAACCACACATTCACTTTACCCATCAGAGTGGTAACAATGCACCGTCATTGGGTGACCCGGTGTACCCACCGACGTTACCCACGGCCCCACCGCCGGCACCCATACACCAGGGCCCGTACCCTGGCCCTGAAATGGGCAACCAGCAGCTGACGCAACCACCGTCTATTAACCACAGACTCATTTTACCCATCAGAGTGGTTACAAAGCACCGTCATCGGGTGACCCGGTGTACCCATCGATGTTACCCATGGCCCAACCGCCGGCACCCATACACCAGGGCCCGTACTCCGGCCCTGAAATGGGCAACCAGCAGCTGACACAATCACTGTCTACTAACCACAGACTCATTTTACCCATCAGAGTGGTAACAAAGCACCATCATTGGGTGACCCCGTGTACCCACCGACGTTACCCACGGCCCCACCGCCGGCACCCATACACCAGGGCCCGTACCCCGGCCCCGAAATGGGCAACCAGCAGCTGACACAACCACCGTCTATTAACCACAGACTCATTTTACCCATCAGAGTGGTAACAAAGCACCGTCATCAGGTGACCCGGTGTACCCACCGACGTTACCCACGGCCCCCCTGCCGGCACCCATACACCAGGGCCCGTACCCCGGCCCCAAAATGGGCAACCAGCAGCTGACACGACCACCGTCTATTAACCACAGACTCATTTTACCCATCAGAGTGGTAACAAAGCACTGTCATCGGGTGACCCGGTGTACCCACCAACGTTACCCACGGCCCCACCACCGGCACCCATACACCAGGGCCCGTACCCCGGCCCTGAAATGGGCAACCAGCAGCTGACACAACCACCGTCTATTAACCACAGACTCATTTTACCCATCAGAGTGGTAACAAAGCACCGTCACTGGGTGACCCGGTGTACCCACCGACGTTACCCACAGCCCCACTGCCGGCACCCATACACCAGGGCCCGTGCCCTGGCCCCGAAATGGGCAACCAACAGCAGATACAATCACCGTCTATTAACCACAGCCTCATTTTACCCATCAGAGTGGTAACAAAGCACCCTCATCGGGTGACCCGGTGTACCCACCGACGTTACCCACGGCCCCATCGCCGGCACCCATACACCAGGGCCCGTGCCCCGACCCTGAAATGGGCAACCAGCAGCAGATACAATCACCGTCTATTAACCACAGCCTCATTTTACCCATCAGAGTGGTAACAAAGCACCCTCATCGGGTGACCCGGTGTACCCACCGACGTTACCCACAGCCCCACTGCCGGCACCCATACACCAGGGCCCGTGCCCCGGCCCCGAAATGGGCAACCAGCAGCTGACACAATCATCGTCTATTAACCACAGACTCATTTTACCCATCAGAGTGGTAACAAAGCACTGCCATCGGGTGACCCGGTGTACCCACCGACGTTACCCACGTCCCCACCACCGGCACCCATACACCAGGGCCCGTACCCCGGCCCTGAAATGGGCAACCAGCAGCAGATACAATCACCGTCTATTAACCACAGACTCATTTTACCCATCAGAGTGGTAACAAAGCACTGCCATCGGGTGACCCGGTGTACCCACCGACGTTACCCACGTCCCCACCACCGGCACCCATACACCAGGGCCCGTACCCCGGCCCTGAAATGGGCAACCAGCAGCAGATACAATCACCGTCTATTAACCACAGACTCATTTTACCCATCAGAGTGGTAACAAAGCACCGTCATCGGGTGACCCGGTGTACCCACCGACGTTACCCACGTCCCCACCACCGGCACCCATACACCAGGGCCCGTACCTCGGCCCTGAAATGGGCAACCAGCAGCAGATACAATCACCGTCTATTAACCACAGACTCATTTTACCCATCAGAGTGGTAACAAAGCACCGTCATCGGGTGACCCGGTGTACCCACCGACGTTACCCACGTCCCCACCACCGGCACCCATACACCAGGGCCCGTACCCCGGCCCCGAAATGGGCAACCAGCAGCTGACACAATCAACGTCTATTAACCACAGACTCATTTTACCCATCAGAGTGGTAACAAAGCACCGCCATCGGGTGACCCGGTGTACCCACCGACGTTACCCACGTCCCCACCGCCGGCACCCATACACCAGGGCCCGTACCCTGGCCCTGAAATGGGCAACCAGCAGCTGACACAACCACCGTTGTCCATGCTCAGTTACCCACCAAATGGTAGCGAGCCTAATAACCATGCGGTAAGAGGAACGACCGATGTCTGCTTTGAAAGTTGCATGCATGGCTAGTTTGAATAGTCGCTTGCTGGCTGGCAAAACTAAATTGTGTGCAGTTGTTGAAGTAAAGGTAGACACCATTTGCAAAAAAATGATGTGTTTTTGCCGATTTGATGTACAAGAATACGATCAATCTGAAGCAGGTTTTTGAAAAACTAACCTGTCGATAATTCAGCTTAGCAGATATCACAATTTTTTTGAAAACTGAAAACAACTCTTCATTTTCTCAAAGCAACACATAGGTTTCCGTTGAAAGCACGATGGTTTGGTCCTAACCATCATAAGGAAATGATGGTGATTCCTCTTTACTCAATAACGACGGCACACTGGAGGCAACGATTTCACTGGATGCTTGATCCTATTATTTACTTACAAAATCCGTTTCAGTTTCATTTTCTAAAGCTTGTAAATGGTGTCCATTATTTTTATTTGCTTCATATTTTTTTCTGCTTAGCATGCTTAGTGTTGAGGCCCATTCATACTTCACTCGAATGCGAAAACGAAGCGAATTTGACGTCACGAAACATTTGCTGCAAAATTTACAGGAGTTGAAATGTGTCCAACTTTTGCAAACTTGTAGCACGTCAACTTGACATAGCGTCACAAATTGACGTCCGCATTCAATTTCGAGCCGGGTATGAACCGGCCTTGAAGCTGATGTCAGAGTATCGCTCTGTGCATATACTGAGGAGCAGCAGGTGTAACAGCTTTCATATTTGCCTGCATCGCAAGGTTGCATGGATGGTCACTCGCTCACACGCTCGCTTTCAAAGCAAAATCTTTTGGCGATTGTTGTATTGTTCCATGTTTGTTTTGTGTAGTTTTAGGCAGCTAGATGTTGGTGTATTGCACTGTCAAGGGCGGATCCAGAACACATTTTTCTAGTGGATTCTAGATGCTCTGTGGTGCGATCTGAGGCAATTTCTGACCACTTTAACCAATGTTCTTTTGAGGAAAAGATGGTGGTGTACTCATTGCCTGCCTTTATTGCGATGTCACATAAAAAAAAAAAAAATTGGTTTCATTTGGGGGGGGCATGGCCCCCTTTGCCCCCCCCCCCCCCCCCCCCCCCCCCGGATCCGCCACTGTGAACTGTGCATGCATGAATATGCACATGGCACTTTTAAGTTAGTGATAAACCAAGTAACATTATCCATGTTATTTCCACAACCGTATCAATTTGGCAGAATTTGGCAAATTTCAGGCACTTCATCCCAAAGTGATTTCAGACATGTTGGGATTCGTTGTACATGTATATACATTGGCAGTATTACTTACCAAGGGAGTTTCCAAAACCTCGGGTTTGTTTCCAGCTGTGGCTCAAGATATATTGAGAGCATGATTAGGCAAACACCTATGGGTCTATCAATGTCTATACATGTATATGCTGCTTCAGGAGCATGCTGAGTTAAGAAACTTTAGCCTGTTATAAGCACTGTAATACTGCCACGTCGAACTCAATTAAGTTGATATTTTAATTTTTTTTATTTTGGCATGGCAGTAGTACAGTGTTTAGAACTATATTGCTTGGCAAATTGCGTTTGGCACAGCACTGTTCTTTTATAGCTGGCTTTGCAAATAACAATACTCACGTGCAAGTCTCGTATGTAACAGACTCATTTCAATGCATATTGGTGAATTATGTTTGGACTAAAATCAGTGAACAAAATTAGAAGACATTTTTGAGGTGGCACCACGTTTGCGCGCATGCCGTACGTGTTCTTAAAGACAAGACTGGCGCGCATTTTGGTGACCCTTATGGTCGAAGGAGCCCGGAGTGCGTGTGTACTACCTGTAGTCAGGTGGCTTAGGGCCAATTTTTGACAAGATCGTGACCGACTGGTCCAAAGCACCAAACTTGACAGATAGATTGTTACAGCCTTATAGAAGATATTTAGAAGGGGTGACACCTGAATTTTTTTTGGAAAGGGTGCCTAATTTGCATAAATTGTTTATCCCTGCCGGGTAATATATTTATTGCCATATTTGGGTATATTTTTAATTTTTTTATTTTTTGAAAAGTATATTTTGGTGATTCTACTTACACATCCTTACTTCAATAACACTTTCTAAAGCATTTAAGACTGACTGGATAATTATGAGGACATAGTAACGATCCAAAATGGCTACTATTATATCCTAAAGTTTTGCGCATTAACCTTGTCTTCAGATATCATCAAGTAGTCTTGCCAAACCTTAGTATTGATGAGCTTCACAGTCACCAAGTTGCTTACTGACTCAGTTACTCGATTAAAACTCCATGAAAAATCATGTGAACAATGATAACGTGATATTTAGCCCAGAAAACGAAATTGGGCTAAAAAGTAGGTGAGGGGTTGCCTATTAAACGTGGGGACTTGAACAAGTTTGAGGAAATTCCCAAAATTATTGGTAAGAAAACATTTGGACGTAGACATCATTATTTAAAAAAAACAATAACTCTTATTTTGGGGGATTCATCCTTGAACTTGATCAAGTCCCCATATGTTAGGCAACCCTTCGCCTCATTTTAGCCCAATTTACGGATACCTCATTTTCCCCCCTTTTATGTTTTTGTGGGCTAAATATGATATAATTTTTCACATGATTTCCCATTTATTTTGGTTAGGGCAACGCTGCCAGTAAGTAACTTTGTGAATTTAAAGCTCATCAATACTGAGGTTTGGCAAGACTACGTGATGATATCGGAGGAAAAAGGAAATGCGCGCAACTTTAGGGTATAGTGGTAGCCATTTTCGATCTTTATTATGTCCTTATAATCTTCAAGTCTCCGATTTGCTTTAGAAAGTGTTATTGAAGTAAGGATGTGTAAGTAAAATCACCAAAATATACTTTTCAAAAAATAAAAAAATAAACATCTACCCAAGTATGGGAATAAATATATTACACGGCAGGAATTAACGCATTATGCAAATTAGGTCCCCTTCCCAAAAGAATTTCAGGTGTCACCCCTTCTAAATATCTTCTTTGTTAGGGCTATTATAATAAATCTGCCAAGTTTGGTGCTTTGGACCAGTCGGTCACGATTCCGATCGTATGCCACCTGACTACTGAGCGCGACTCGCGCGAGCCTGGTGCCACATCAGGAAATGGCTATCGCTGTATTTGTCTGTGGTTGCGGATCTGTAAATGGGCCCAGAATTGCTAATGCGGGCCAAATCACAATTTGGATGCGTAATAACTAACCTGATGAAGCGTTAGCTCAGTGAACGCTGTATATTTCGAGAAAACAGAACAAACATAAACACAGTGTCCTAGATCTCGATTTCAATTCCAAAGTTGCTGAGTCATATTTTGAATTGCACCCTCGCTCGACACAATCCCGAAATCAGCATTCGGGACATGATTCTCATTCAACCGGTTGTCAAGCATTTACAAATTCACCAAATGGCAAACCCACTACAAATGAGGACTCATGGGTCAGATTCACGGAAATTTCCAAAAATGTGTCACCTGACACATCTTTGGAAAATCCATTTTTAAAAGCCTTTAAATGCACAGGACTTTTGTTAAATATACACTACACGTAGTAGTTTATTTTTTTTAATATCTTTATTTATCATGTGGTTTCTTTTGAGGTGGAGGTTCTTTAAAACACCAGCCAAATTAATGCTCACCATAATAACTAATGCTGTTGTTACATTGTGAGAAAGCTCCTAAAAAAAATGTTTATAATTCAAACATATTCCCACAAAAAGTGCTTCATATAGTCCCCACTGTTGCAGATAATTGTTCAAATCCTATGCAGGCAATAGTTCAGCAAACCCTACATTGAACCTTCAAATTGACCACGTCACCTGCGTTGTCCAGCAACCGACAAGCAACCAAAAACTTTCATATTTAAAGCATCTTATTTTGCCCACATTTAACATTTTAAAAAGTCCATGCGCTTAATTTTTCTTTTGGGAATGCATTTCGTGCAACTTTCTACTCCTCTTAAATGTATGAAAACCATCTGACATCCCGTTTTTGTTAATTTCATTGAAAAGTGTACTTCTTTAAACATTAAAATTAGCCATTCCTTTGTGGAAAACTGAGGGCGCTGTTGCTGTGATGTCATTTCAGGAAGCCACTGTTCAGTTTAGGGGGTTTCTGTTCAGATTGTGAACCCAAAATGTGCTCATTGAAAACATTTGTAAGAAAAGTTGCTCATTGGCTTACTGCCGTGTACCGGTACTGACAACAACGAATCACCAAAGAAAAGACAATTTACAACAGCAAAACATCCAAAATTCTAGCAACGTTTTGTACTGTAATAGCTGTAAATAATTAAGATTTCTGCCCGGAATGACAACCAGGCATGCAACTTGTCCTCGGATCAGCTGATTTCCTTGTTTTTCACTTCTCAAGACTGCCATTACAAATTGAAAAACACTGTACAAATTCTTGTGTAGTTTGGAGTTTCCTCAATTTTCCTAAATTCCTAGTTGCATGCCTGGACAACACACTTTTGCTCATGAATGTGGAAATTAGCATTAGCCTAAAAACAAAAAAGGCTCCAAAATGCCCTTGAAATTAGCAAAACGAAAATGGAGAAATGAGGTTAAATGTGACACAAAGGTGCGTTTTCAAGGATCGCATTAAACAAATTACGTCAATACTGTTAAACTTTTCATATTTTAAAAGATAAACAATGTACATGCAGTGATGCAGAAGACAATTGCTGAAAGTGCATCATGTGTAAACTGAATGTGACATGGTCTGCAGTTTCACATTTCATTGTTTGGA